CATAAATCTTACAAAACGTTGTCTAGTAATCATTACAACGCTTCCTCTCGAAGATGAAGCGGCATCATATGGCTGAATGAGTGAATTTAAAAATCACATATTTTAGTTCTTATCTATGTTATTTAAAATTAATGTGTACCTTTAACCATTTGCGTATACGGAAACTAAAATATAGGCGACTTTTCGAAAGGCCTTTAAAGATCGAGCTCACGTGGAAGTCAGTAATTTTTTTATTATTGATATTATATATATATATATATATATATATATATATATATATATATATATATGTATAGCCGAGAAGAGCGGAAGAGCGAGAAACAATTATTAAACCTATTTGAGCCTATCTAAATTGCTATGATAAACTAATCAAATCAATGAAAGCACAGTAGACATTACACTTTCTATTTTTTATGTCTTCGTCAATCAATCATTTCTCACGATGTAGAAAAGGTGGCAAATATTATATTTTTAATAATTATTTTATCGACGAATGCACCCCAGTATAAGAAAGTAATGCCGAATTTACTTGAGTGTTTATGTAAAAATTGATGTTTTCCATATAGAAGTTTAACTTTTAGTTTTCAAATTAAGTGCAGCATTTTTCATATACATATACTTAGACTTTCAGACCGATTATTATATGACTAACCTGACTTGAGCTTAAACATGAGAATAATATTAATTAGGGAACGGCTGAACACTGACTATATTTTCCATGTAATAGTTGGAAAGTTTTAGAGGTAGGTGTATACTACAATATAATCAAATTTTACTTACAACCGTTAAATACATTATGAAATGGAGAAATCAAGATGACGACACGTTTGGCTCAGTTTGTAGTGACCCTACTTATTGTACTAGCGGTCGCGGGTTCGAGTCCCGCTAGGGGCATACATTTGTGTGATGAGCATGAATGTGAACAGTCATGGGTGTTTATATTTATAATATGTACCTATGTATTTAAAGTTATATAATATAGGTAGTGTATCAACTATCTAGTATCCATAACACAAGCCTCGTAGCTTACCATGGAACTAGATGATGTTGTATATAAATGTCCCAACATATTTATTTATTTATAAACATAATATAATATAAATATAAAATTTATTTAAGATCTTTTTAATATCTACTGCCCTTATTTTGGGAACTATTGATATGAACTGCTAACATTTTGTTATCTTTATTCATTATTGCTACATATAGTGAAATCAGGTAAAAGGTCAAATTATAACTCTACTTTAAATATTAAAAAGATAAAAAAACTTTTTATTTGTGTCAACTAAAAACAGCCTTTATTTCGTAAGATAAAGCTTAGTAGCAATTGTATAGAATCTTAAAGAATAAAGCTAATATTGCGAAGTGATTCAAGGTAAAATATTCCATTCCTGAACTCGTTGCATTTGCTATATCTGAAATATTGCTGCGTTCAGTCCTCTATAAAAAAGTACAAGGTACCTACTTTGTAAGCAAAATATTTACATATCTTTTCTGTCTGTCAGACAAATCTTTGCGCTCTATTATTATTAATAGAGAATAATATATATTTATTTATATAAGTATTTGGTGTTATAATGAAACAATGAATCATGGTCACCTATAGCAAGTTATTATAAATAAGTACAAAAGTTATAAGTATATTTGTTCAAATCATTGTGACTTTTATTAATAGGAACGTTTTAACTTTTAGTATAGATTTTTCAGAGATGAGATATTTTCCCGCAGTAAAAAGTATGCTAGATATATGTTTGTTGACCCAGATACCCAACTATCATCATACTAAACGTCATCATAATTTGTCCAGTGGTTTTCTCGTGATGCGTTCCTAGACAGAAAGACAGACAGAGTATGTCTACTCACTGGCTCTCACGGACCGGACATTTCATGCCACAATATGTTTGGGTTACATACCTAAATCCCTAATGCGAGCACGGCTCACGCTTGTTTAGATAACCATGGTATGAAATTTTTAAATAACAATAAAAACCTAAAAAAAACGACTTCCAGGTACTAAGATATAAAAAAATAACTACTGTCGGTGGCAGCCGACAATATTTTAAGATATGAATATCTAATAGATTAATATGTATTTTACGTATCGAAATAGGTATATTAGATTTGCTTTGCATCGGTTCTAAATGAAAACCCCCGTTTAGTTATTTTTTTTTACATTTTAGAGCCTGGAAGTCGGTTTTTATTATTTTTTTAACAGTTTTTATTTTTCCATTTTTAGTGTAGACGTAATAAGCAAGTAATTTAGAAGAAAGTTTTTTAATGACATATTCGATTAAACAATTAATTAAAAAATAATTGTTAATTTTCCAAAAAACCGCTCCACCGATTTCGATGAAATTTATACGGACCTGGGATTGGGAAGTATATCCTTTAAAACAAAAAAAATCCAAATCGGTTTACGCGTCTTCGAGTAATCAGTGAACATACAAAAAAAAAAGATTCCGACGAATTGAGAACCTTTTTGGGAGTCGGTTATTAGAAATTGATTTAGTCACAATTATGATTATTGTAATTTGTATGTTCATGATTATTGTACTTTTAATATTTAAAGGTTTTCTGTTACATGTCATTTGATAACGTAATTGTAATTTTACGATTGCCATCCAATCTCCATGGATATTTGCTACATACATTTTTAACCATTACGGACAGTTTTGCAAGTGAATTTAGCTATCAAGCCCTGATGAACGCCTAGATTTACTATCGCCAATCTAAACCGTGACCAGGCGTACGAGGAAGAAATATTAGCCTTTGAAATTAGATGAGTGTTCTAGATGAATATTTCTCAAATATTTTGCAATCGTTTCCATGATGTTATAATGCAATAGTCAGCTGTAAGTAGGTACTAGTAGTAGTATCGACGTAAGGTATTCACTCAAAAATGTAAGATTTTAGAGCTTTTAGGAGACAATATTTTTATTAAATTAACAAATTTAAACCGACACAGAAACCTACATAATTCCACGATTAAATATCACAAGTTAACAAAAGCCCCATCTAAATAAAAAAATAATTTATGGTAAATATAGGCAAATTATAGTTATAAAGGTAGTACGGAACCCCAGTGGTAACGCGCTCGCTTGGAAACGAGTGAGGGGGGCTCAAATCGCGGGTCTCGCACCTCTGATATTTTCACTTGCGAATAATTTTCAACATGATTAGGTACCACTTGTCTTACGGTGAAGGAAAACATCGTGAGAAAACCTGTATACCTATCTGAGAGAACCTAGCAAGTTTTCGAATGACATGTGAAGTCCGCCAACAGCGCTTGGCCAGCGTGTATATGGTCTATGGCCTGTTCCTCCTCGTACTGAAGGGAGGCCAGGTAAAAAGGGCTGAATTATTGTTGTTGTATGGTAATTATATACATAACAAACGTGTAAAAACAGCTTTCTGGCTGCTTTGCTTTCTCTGTTAAATTACTAAACGGAATTTGATGATTGATGAACCTAGGAAGGCGCTATGTATGTGGTTATAATATTAAGATTTATAAAATAATAATACCTACAAAACCTTCGAAGAAACATTGTAATAATAAACAGCACTTTTGTGCCTGCACGCCTGCTCGCAGTGCGTAAGATGCTCCTCAGATATATTATACTTTTATGTGTATATGTATTTTTGTATTTAGTCCATTTTCAATTTTACAGCATTAACACGCGCGTGCCACTAGGCCCTGCCATTTTTTTTAATTAAGTTTTTTATTTGAGTTGAGTATGTTTACACCTGATGCTTGTAATATGAATTTATTATACGTATTTTCTTTGATTGCATAGACGTAATTCAAGTGTTCCTATTTAAATCTGAAAGCAAATACTCCTGAGGATGAAATAATGTAGAGAAAGATAAAATACTAATTAAATATCCTTTACATAATATTATATATTCATTTTTAAATTTAATTGCCATATAAAAATCAACTCAAAATTATCATTATTTTTAGTATTTATCATTGTTATTTAAAATATGCTGTGCTTCCTAATTCGGTAATATAATAAAAACTTTGAATATACCCATATGGACTAGAAAAGTTTGTGGCTTTTAGAAAACCACCAAGCTGTATGTACTAAATTGCCACATGGATTTTTTTTATTTACCAACCCTATATTCAGTCACAATGGATGTTTTTATCAATTTGGATATGCACAAACCACATAACTACATATTTAAAACAATAATGGACAATAAAAAGGATAAAACAGCATTGATTTAAATTAAGGAATTAAGGAATTTAAATCAAAGATTTACATCAGTATTAACTATTATCAAACATCAAAGTTTAACTATAAAACAATATATTATATCTATAATCTATATACAAAAATCAATTGCTGTACATTTAAGTATCACTAAAACTCAAAAAACAGCTGGACCAATTTCATTCATTCTTTTTTGATTTGTTGAGGGTGTGTCAGGGGTGGTTCAAGTATAAAGAAATAGAGAAAAATCCAAAAAAACAGCTGACAAATCAAAAAGTTCAGAAATGTTTATTTTGTACTTATGTATATATAATATATATTAAAACGTACCTAGGGTTGAACCAGAGCAATGCGAGGGTGAGTCACTTATCAAAGATAAAACTCAAAATTATAGTTTATTCATTTTCTTCATGTAATGTCACAATTACTTTTACATTTTTTTAAGGATGTTTTAATCAAAATTATTTTCCTACTCTATTTAAGCATAAATTTTTCACAAAAACGGTATTTTTCTGACGTCGTTATCAATTATGTACTATATAAATTATAATAGTACTTTAAATGATCAATTTAAACATTTTTATTTGAATGAATTTACATACATATTTCAGGAAACAAACTTTTTGTAAATGAACTACCATTGCTTGACTCACTCCTAAATTAAATATAAACAATCAAATAGACATAATTCATTTATGCATTTATAATAAAATATAATGCTTAATAAATAAAGCATGTTAACACAATTTCTTGTTTCTTCTTATATCTTAAAATTTCCTATCATCTTTGCATTGTAGCAACTTGTTCACTGATTTCTGTCAACATTTGAGCAGATGCTAATATATTGTCATACTGATAGCCCATGTGAACAGCAATTAATTTCATCTTTTTCAAATTCTCTTCACTACCTTCCATGAGATGTTCTGTGGCTGCAAAGTCTCGAGCTGCCTTTGACAGGAGCTGAAATTTAATGCAAAAACAATTAGCTTCAATTATATTATAGTGATATAGATATACATATTAAATACATTTTGATAAAATTATTATCTATTTACCTCATTTGATTTTGAACCTCTCTGTATCTGACGAGCGAGAGAAGCAATATTATTCATATTAACTTGAACTCTCTCTGCCAGCCGTTGTTTCGACTCAGCAAATAAGGATCGAGCGCTACTTGATGATGCAGATGTCATTTTGAGAAGTTATTTATCTGATCTCTAAATCGCTTTTTTCTTTCCAAAAATATGTTTTATAAGCAAATTTATAAACAATTTAGGAATGACGGAAAAAATCACTACTCAATATATTATGTATTTAATTGATAAGCTTTTAGAATAATATTATGATTATATATGGAAAATCTATTTTATACACATAACAACGTATGCACTGTTTTAATACACAAATTAGTAATTACAGCTGTTATTAGAAATTTATTAAATCAAAGAAGAATAATTATTATCATAGATTATTATTCTATTCTATTCTTTTGTTTAGTGGCTTCCAGGAGTGCCAATTGGGCACAAAATACTTCGCCAATGTCGCGTAGAATGGAGAAAACATAGATTATTATGTTTATACAAAAAGTAGAAACGTCAAACCGCCGAACCGATAAATGTCAACAGTCAACACAACAAACAAAATTATAAATCCATTACACGCAATGGAATGGCGGCAAATAAAATGTTTCTTAAAAAAAATGCAATTTTATATATTAACAGTTAAAAATTATATCACTGTTTGCTAGCGCAAATTTATAATGATTAATATGATTCACTACATTAATAAGCCGTATTAATAAAGGTAAGAAAGGAAGGTAAAGTTATGAAATATATAGAAAGTTTTATGATTTATCATAATATTATAAAACTGTCAAAATTATCGGATTTCTCTAAAAATAATCTAGAAAATTTTGTTAAGAAGAATCAAGTAGAATGGTAAGAAAATTAGCTTAATTAATAATATTAAATTCTACCTACAGAAAATAAACAAAATAAGTCATAGAGGTTTTTGCTTTTCAGTTTTCTAGTCTATAGTATTCTGGTCTGACTTTTCGCTCGTCACGGAACGTTTTGTGTTGTAGGAAATTCCTGTAAATTTAATTCAATTATCAGCCTTTACCAAAATGTGTTTTAATAATCTTTTCTGTCTATCAATTTTTAATCTTTCTATATCTACGCGTGTATCTTGTATTGTTTAAGAAATGTTTATTTGCGGAACTACTGTGATCCAATAATTTCTTGTTGGTATTTACGTATTTCCGTAGCTATAAAGATTTATTTTTCGCAATGGACAAAGGCGTGACGTGTGAACATCTAAATAAGTTAGTAGACTTTCTCGACAAGGAGCTATGGAAGTCAAAAGAGGTAGGATCTCGCAATTTTAACTTCATATAACCTCAAACGTATTATCGGGTATAATTGATGATTAGCATTCTTTACTTGTTTTCTTATTATGCAATGAACTGGACTATGTAAACTCCCTCCAATTGGAAAAATAGTATCACTCATTCTACAACTGCTTTAGGAATTTCTGATACTTGTTTTTGTTTATATTTACACTAAACTATTTTTATCCAATAAAATTTATTTCAATAGATACCACAATAAAATATGTATTGTCATAAAAAGTTTTTATTCATGTAAACATCAATTAATACTAATAAATATGGTCTCTTTACTATTTTTATATAATTTCATGTACTTATGTAAAGTATTGAATAAAATATGACACTGTATACATTTTTGTATGCAAATATATGTACTTGTTAATTTACTTAGATATTATGTCTTAGTAATTGTCTTATATATGTTAAGAAGTTAGAACTTTTGAAAATATGAATGCATCTGGACTTTGTATAAGCAAGATATATCTCATTATTAATCTTTATATCTTATTTGTTTGTTTTGTTTAATGTGTTTTATAAAATATGTTGTCTTAAGCTTGGTTGTGTTGAAAACAAAGTACATATGAATAACATATAAATTATAGTAATAAAATTATATAAAAGTTAAATACCACTAATTGACTGGGTATTAATGATGAGGCATAATACTCGTACATATTGCATAATTATTATTTTTTGCATTTTTGTAAAATTTCATTTGCAATAGGGATGATGTTGAACCTTGTTTAATTAAGAATATTTTATAGAGTGGAATACATAAATGAACTATACAAAGTTAAATTTGACAACACATTTGGCTCAGTTTATAGTGCTCTACTTGCTGTACCAGTGGTCCCGGGTTCGAGTCCCACTGGGCGTATTCATTTGTGTGATAAGCACAAATGTTTTACTCCAATCACGGGTGTTAATATTTATGATATGTATGTATTTAAAGTTATATATATGTAGTATATCAACTATCTGGTATCTATAACATAAGCTTCATAGTATTTATTTATTTACACAAACATTAGTTCTAAATATTAAGAAATGATGAAATAATACTTTCTTAGATTTACGCGAATATTTGAAATTTTAAATAAAACTATCTTTTCGGATTTTGTCGAGGATTTATTTGCATTTTTGTTTCCCGACGTTTCAAATGCTTTACAGCAATCATGGTCACGGGAGAGGGTCTCTCCCAATAGGTAGGTAGAAAAAGGTCAAACAAAAATGCAAATAAATCCGTGACAAAATCCGAAAAGATAGTTTTATTTAAAATGATGAAATATTGAATGTCATTATGCAATCATTTGTATACAATATACAACATTTATACTCTTATGATATGTATATTATGTAATAAATTAAATTAAATTACCTTTAAACAAATAAGTGATGCCTGATTGCCTCTTAAAAACCTTCATTTAATATTTCTCGACTGTAAGTGAACATAGGATTGAACACACAAACATACAGGTCAAACACATAACCCTCCTTTATGATCGCTGTAGTCAAGTATAAATAATTTACTGCATATCAAAAATTAATTTCGAACATAAACATTAATCACTAATTCTAAATACACTTCATATTGAATAAATGCATCAAATTGAATTACTTTTCAGAATCTATCATGTTTCGACTGTGGATGCCCTGGACCAAACCTCTGGATCTGTTTGCAACCTGACTGCCACCATGTTGGATGTTCTGAAGTTAAAAATGACCACAGCACTATACACCAGAAGGTACTTTTTTTTTAATTTTTATTTTTTACAAGTTGTGACCATCAGAAGATAGTATTTATTTTTCTGGTAATACAACTATAATTTAGTTAATTTTAGCCCCCAAAAGTTTTTGATTTCATACTATTTGTTCAATTTTATAGGACTATCTCGTGATACATACATAATTCAAATTTTATTACCGTAAAAAAAGCTTCTTTTTTTTGTTTTTATTGTAAAAAATATAAAAAAGTAAATCAAAATATAAAGTATGTGAAAATATAAAATAATAAAAAAAACTGTCCAAATGTAAATTGATTGGATGCTAAAGATGTTTATTGTAGGACTCTGAATAGGTTTATTATAGTTAATTATCTAGTCAATAAGCATGAACAAATACATGATGTAAAGTAAATTTTGTAATGCATCTATTTGAAATATCTTAAATAAATATTTTTAAACTTAAAATACACCATTACTGATTTATAATATAATAATATCAAAACTTTATATTTAATCAACTTCACAAAGCTGGTTTTAAGTGTGTTCTTTTGTATTCTACTTAATATAATAATATTAAGTACCAATTTTGATGATCTTTTTTTAAATATATTTTATACCACAAACATATTATTAAATAGAATTCTGTACCTGAAGATCAAATAACCACTTTTAAGATAAAAAGGACAATAATAATAAACAGGTATGTTCAGTTAAAAATTAATTATAACAATTGATTACACATTTCCAACACACCCATATAATTGGATGTGGAATTAACTTAAATACATCTAGTGAAGCCTTAATAGTTATAGCTATATTGATAGATATTGTATTGATGAAGTATCACTTTAAATTCAATTCAATTACAATTTACCAGTATTTACAAATTTATACAATGTCAAAATATTTTTTATTTTATTTTGTGTCTTAAAAATCATAATTAACTATTAAAAACCTATTTTATTTTATAATCGATATTTTTTTATGTGTAGTATTATGTTAGTGTAGAGAATTAGTATATTTTGTCTTTACTAGCGACGTACCCTCGCTTTGCTCGGGTGCTTCCCTGGGAGCATTTTAATTTTTTTTGAGCGGAACCCTAAATTTTTTCTAAAATAAAAGTAGCCTCCGTTATTCCTTATAACATCAGCGAGCTGCCAGTGAAAATTCCGTCAAAATCAGTCCAGCTGTTTCGGAGATTAGCCGTAACAAATAGACAGACAAATTTTAAAAGTTGTGTTCTTCTTAAAGTACCGTATATAATTTCATATGCATTTAGTAAAAAGCTGTTATTTTGACGTTACAAACAGACTTTTAAAGATTATTTATCTGTATAGGTGATCAAATTTATTATTTCAATTTGTGCTAATTTCTGTATTACCTAGATGAAATGTAATTCATGTGATTAACTATTAAGCATAAAATAAATTGTTTGTTTTTCTTTTTTTTTTCGTTTTTAAGGTAAAAAAAATTATATATACATATAATAAAGTAAATTAAAATACAAAGTACCTATATGAACAACAACAACAGCTTTGTTTACAGACTTGGTTTTAACGAAATCAAGTTTACAAGCAAAAGCTTCTAAAATAAAGTGTACAGACTCAAGTTTATTATTTACGTCGACCCAATTAGCTTTAAAGTTCTTTATCGTCTTAATATAGGCGAATTTACATCCTTACTAAGAAATTTGAACTTGGCATAATGCCTAACTGCTCGATTATATGTAACAATGGAAACACGATGAGTTTAAACGCCTTTGTTGTGAATGCCCTTTGGACCTCACACTTGTTACTTCTACAGTTACATTATTTGATAAAGTATGTATGTATGTAACTAAATATATATTTGCATGACTTTATTATTGATTGTGTGGAATGTGAATTTATATTTTGTTGTACATGTGTTACTAGCATTGCCCGCGGCTCCACCCCCGTTCAGATGACCAAAAACCAAATTATTAGGTTTTACATATTAGTATACTCTTACATTGCAGTTTTTGTATTTTTTCTCAGAGATGAGACATTTTCCCGCAGTAAAAAGTATATGTTGACCCGGATAACCAGCTATCACCATACCAAATTTCATCAAAATCCCTCCAGTGGTTTTTCTGTGATGCGGTAACAGACAGACAGACAGACAAAAATTCTAAAAACTATTAATTCGGTCTCTATCGATAATAATATCTATTTCAATAAGATTTTCCGAAAAATATTTAATGTACAGATTCGACTTAGTTACAATTTTATTATGTGTATTGATTTTATAAATGGCAATATTCGTTTGGTTTTCATCACACAAATAATTCCGATAAATCAAGGTTACTATTGAAAAGAATACAGTGGTTCATAAAATAAGATTAGATTACAAAAAAATGTGGGACAGCAATCACGTACTTCAATTCTCTATACCGACGAAACGATATCCCCAAGTTCTATTCTTAAAATATTTCATACTAAAGTTTCCTCGCTTAGTTTATTTATGCCGCGCTTCGCTCAGGAATCAGGATCCATCTTTAGATAACTTTGAGTGCCTGTCACGATTTATTTTCGTTTTCCATTATCTCCTAAACCATATAATCAAATGTCATACTGTAAAGTGTAAAGGACTTTTATATTATTAAGTTTATTGGAAAAAGCGATAAAAAAATGGAACTAAGTGTCAGTGATGAAGAAACTCAGTACTGTTCAGTCGAAGACATACTAGTACATACATGTTTTATACTAGCTACAAGTCTTGCTTCGTATGACCCGTTATATATCATATTGATACAATAAAATAGTTTTAGAGAAATAATGTAGATAACAAAAAATCATATCCAATTTTGCTGAGTAGTTCTAGAGATAAGCACATAAGTACAGACAGATGTTCATCGGTGACTTTCTTTTAAATGTGTAAGAATTGTTCCACTCTTTTAGAAGTCGTAGCGTGATGATAAGTAACCTATACCATTTCCTTATTTTCAAAGATTAGCAAGTTCAAACAAAAAACATACCACCTAATTAGTATACCGATTAGTATAGATATAACAGAGTGATAAAAACATAAAATTATGTATAGTTATTTCATAATTGCTATGAAAAATAGATATTTATGACATAGAATAATAGGTTCATAGCATTTTAAGTGGTCACTATGACTTGCAACTAATTTACAGTTACTTTGATATTCTAGCTGTCATTCTTAAATTATAAAGTCCAAAGTCAAATCAAAGTTCAAAAAATCTTCTTTCTATCTGACAGTGGCGAATTAATCTATGCTCAAGTAACACGCTTTGAAGTTATTAACAAGATAAACCCCTGGATTCTGTCACCGCGTTTGAGGTGATCAACACACAAATTTTGTGCCTCTCGGATTTAAATTATTTTATCATTGTGGAAATAGTAGTAATAATTAATTAGTTGTATTATATTATATTAGATAATGTAAATATTTAAAAATTTTAAGTGTATATATAGAAGATATGGCGGTAAGTTTTGAGTTTTAGATTTTTATTTTCAAATTTTCCTTCTATGTGACAAGCCGAATATGGAAAAAAAACACAATCGTTATATATATCGTTCATTCAATTTGTACCATGAGGTTAATTTTGACAAATAGCATTCTTACTTTGGTTGAACTGTACAATCTATGACATCGATTTAAGGGAGGAGAGAGGGTGGGGGAGGGGGGGAGGGGGGGGGGTGAGAGGGACACCCCCTTAAAAGGAAAAACCGCGGAGGTTAGTAGTTTTCGAGATATTGAATTTTCAAAATTTTAATTTTTGTAGTTAAAATTATTGTGAAAACAACTTTAAGCATTGCACTTAAGGTTCAATTTACATAGTTTTATATTTCAACTAGAATAATTACCTAAACACAATTGGTGACAGTTTTAAGACAACTTTTGCGTATATAATAATGGGTACCGGAAAAGTGGCTACGGATTATGAAAAAAGTTCTAAAAGTTCTAGTCGTGGCACTCGCCGGCCGCGGCACGCTCGCGCGTAGTTTTAACTGTTCTAACACAACCTAACCAACCTAGGAAGAAAAGTTTCTGCCAAAAAACTAACCTGAACCTATTTTGATAAAGCTTTCCTGCGTGGAAATAAAAAACAATAGTAACTGACAGTAAAACTGACATTTCAAATTGGCTTCGCTTTTCCTATTTAGCTAATTCTGACATTGACATATCACATAACCAATTTAGTATGTACCAGTTTATATTTGTTATTACGTACATATAAATCAAGATTTTAACTATTAAATTATGTATTTAACTACAATAATGATTGATAATAACTCAGAACATAGAATATTGTAAGGAACTTTGTGAAAAACATCGATATGTGCGTGTATAATAAATGTGGTAAAAATAAAAAGTTGAACCTTGAAAATTTATTTTTGACAAAACTATTTGTTTCCGCGGTCTCAAACTTTATATATAGGCTTCTAATAGAGAGATTTATTAGTGAAAAAAATATGAAGTTTCAACTCGATGTCATGGATTGTACAGTTGAGCCCTTACTTTTCTGTCATAATTAGCAATCTTGTAAGAGTTGTTGATACGCGACGGATGATTTTCAAAATTTTCAAAATTTATAATATAAAAGGTAATTGAATGTGCCAGATAAATTAAGTAAAACCTATTATTTTCGTAAATCTGTCGATTGATACACGTATCATGTAATTTTAGTACTTCGGTAATTAATTTATACTTTGATTCTAGAAGTGTAATAATTTCGAAATACTTATGTTTTTAAAAGCTTATAACACAGAAGCTTGTAGTACACGAAATCTCGTTTTCAGCTATGTTTCGAATGTGACTTTTGCGACATCAATTTAGAAGAATTTACTAAGGATTACCTATTATAAAAAATATGTAACAAAATCTGCAACGAGACTCTGCTGAGAATTTACACATGCGAAGAAAATATAGTAAAGAAAAACACCTATAGAAACTGTGTAATTCCATTAGTACTTTTACTTTTAGTCTTTCCCTTTCGAAATTTCGACTTCCTACTCGCCTCACTTGATGCTTTCATTATAAAATATCAATGTTTAGGTGTGAAAACGTAACATATAATAGAAAAATAAACAAAAGATAGAATTACTTTCATTTATAATATTACTACTATATGACTTTATTATATTATCCAAAAGTTATATAAGAAGATTAATTTAAAGATTTCTATACGTATAATATAGGCCCCTTGGATATGAAACTCTAAAAGAACTTACAAAAATTATTACTACTGTTTATTTATAATAATATATTTATTTTTATAAAATAAAGGCCCCATAGCAGTAATTAACCACATAGTACATCCTTGATCAGCGGCAGAGTTAGGTGGAGATGTTTTCTCCACTGATTCAGAGAAAAGCAGCACTTAAAATCCTAAATAAACAGTTTTAAATATTATTTATAAAACTTTTTTAAAGTATCTAAGTTACGGTTACGGTTTGTATATTGTAAGGTCAACATGTCTCACTCTTCTAAAAACTTGCCTCACTGGTAAAAAACCATTTTGGATACGTCTAAAAAATTTATTTTATTATTTGTTTTTTTTTCGGTACGTTTCATATAAATATTCATACTATTATTTTGAATGAATATAATTTTAAATAAAGAAATTATAATTTGTTTATAACAAATATTTAAAGGCGAAGACACGGTAATGTAATATACATAGTGACATTGCATATACGTAGTAATATTTCATATGGATTTAGTAAATCTTAGTTAATAAAAATGCAGAATGAGAAAAATCCCAAATTTCTTGTGTTGAAAGTAAGAGGCCAAAAAATAATCTTAACAACAGCGTAAGATATAAAATTGTGTCAGAATGTGTTAGAGAAACCAAAAACTATTTTTCTAAATAGTGTTTTCTAAATATTGTGGAGCCTGTCGTATTAAAATGTATAAGCAAAAAGTTTCAGAAGTTTTTGATGAAATTGATCACAATCAACCAACTACTTCTACAGAACAAATCGAAATTGAACCGAATAATATTTTTTTGAACACTGTCCTACTCTAGCAAAAATTTTCATGACTTTGCACATCGATTGCGATATGTTATTGTTTTATTACATGTATAGGAAAAAGTAGGTATAGCGAGTGTACCTTAGGAGATAGACATAAGCTAATGTGGATTTTTTGTAGGTCTTTGTAAGATCTACAATTTTCTAGTACATTTTTATATGTCTCTTAAGGTTTAGCCAACATTAGCCAAATGATGATGTTCTCCTGACCGATTCCGGCCACGGCGGCCAATCTCATTGAGACTAGCCAACTGCGCAGGAGATATTATAGTGCTCAAGTGTACGCGCAGACACAGGTGCACTCTCTATTCCTGTCATTCTCATACTCCGGTGGGACGATTAGTCGACACGACCGGTGAGAGTTAAGGCGCAGGACCGACGGCTTTACGTGCTCTCCGAGGCACGGGGGTGAAGCACCGCCAGCTTTCCAACTCTGGGCTGTTACTGAGACTTACTATATAGAAAGACTCAATAACTAAACTTGGCGCGAACCCAGGACCTCCGGGTGTGCAGCCGTACATGATAGCCACTACACCACCGAGGCAGTTAGCCAGATAAATTTCTAAGGACGACTTGATAGAACCTTGTTAATTATAAAAAGTTTATAAAAGAAATTTTGTATAAACAACTTCAAAAACTATAACAGTTATTATTTACTTAAAATAAATATTTTAGAATTATAATTTTTTGGAGATTTCTCAAATATTTTACTTTTTTGTAATTAACAGATTTTCGAAACAGCTGTAATTTTTAACTGGTAAAATGTTTACTTTATGGTATTAAAAACCAAAAAAAATAAAATAAAAAAATAAAACTTTCAAATCCATTCGGTATAACTGGGTTCCGTTATTATTCATTTATAATTAAACCCCGACGCAAAAACGATGGGGCGTTATAAGTTTGTCGTGTCTCTGTGTGTGTGTGTGTGTGTGTGTGTGTGTGTGTCTATCTGCGGCATTGTAGCTCCCGAACGGATGAACTGATTTTAATTTGTTTTTTTTTTTGTTTGAACTGTGAATTTGTCGGGAGTGTTCTTAGCTATGTTTGATGAAAATCGGTCCAAGAATGTTTAATTTAATGTTTAATTTAATTTATGGCTAATTGCACTCGATTATTTAGGTTATCATGAAAATTGAAATCGTAGAAAGCACGTTGAAAAAAATAATGACGTTGCGTGACGCGTCACATTAAAATTTAAACTCCCTCGTAAGTAATTTTTAAGGCAAAGGTTCAGGGACAGTCATGAACGAAAGTTATAAAATATACTTACATAATTTTAGATATGTACAGAATTATAAATGTGAATTAATCACGTTAGCAGCATTTCACCTTCACTTTTTTTATGACAATTTCTTTATATAGTATAGTATATTAATTAATATACATATAATAAAATTCTTACTGACTCCAATCTGTACATTAACAATTTTTTTGGAAAATATTATTGATATAGTAATTATTATTATGGATACAGGCCCGAATCTATAGTTTTTAGAATTTTTGTCTGTCTGTCTGGGAAAACATCACGAGAAAACCACTGGACAGATTTTGATAAAATTAGGTATGATCATAGCTGGTTATCCGGGTCAACACATATACTTTTTACTGCGGGAAAATATGTCATCTTTGAGAAGACTATACCTACTAGTACCTACTTACTACCTAGTATATTTTGATATTTGAATCATCATAATTAAAACCGAAACAAGGTAAAATTAAGAACCTATTTTTTTCCTAATCTCGATATATGACATTTATTAAATAAAATACACTAAATAAACGAAGATAATAACAAAGTCTCTAACTTTAGAAATCAGGTGGTTTTTGTGTGTTTTTGGTTTTTTAATTCCCGACGCAAAAAGAGGAGTGTTATAAGTTTGATAGTCTGTCTGTCTTTCTGTGGCATCCTTAATATAGAGTGTGTAACGTCATTACACCTAAAATAATTAAAAAGATACGTCTTAAGCATACTTTATACATCCTAAGACAGTTGTCGAACATTTCCGGAGAGGCATCGAAATTACTAGAAGTTTCGAGATTCAGACAAGAGCAGTTAATCGTAAATTGCCGTGTGTAGGAGTGAGAGAGGAACAAAACATTCGAAATTACTAGAAAGGTTTTTCGAACTGCATTCATATAAAAATGCCGGCAGTGTGTCGAGAGATCAGTTGAATTTCGAAGCTAATCACTTAGCTCCGAAATTCAACTGATCTCTGTTTGAGAAGAAGTACGAAAAAGTGAAGAAAAGTGGAGTGCAGTCATATTGAAAGTGTATCTAATGGTGAACATTACTGTTCACTGGCTAAAAACTGCATATACTGCGCGTGTAAGTGAATCTCCATAACTCACTCTTGTAAACCAACAGCAATAAAACATCAATAGCGCAAAGGACGTGCTATAATTTCCGATTCCCGAACTCATAGAACGTAAAAATATATAAACATAAGTATTACATAATAAAACAAAAGACACCTTCAATGCTACAATGGGGAATAATAATTGATCGTCTCATTAAATATCGTGATCTTGCGCCAAGGACAGTGCCAACAGCAATTTGTAATATCTTATCCTTTTAATTTGAAGTTCTTCTTCTTCTTTAAGAAACTAGGTATTAATCTACATATCATATTATGTATGGAATTACTAAAACAAAACTATCCCATGGGTACGGTTCGTACATTTTTCCGGAATAAAAAGTAGCCTATGTGTTATTTCAGACTATAATCTATCTCTGTGCCAAATTTCATCCAGATCCGACCAAACGTTCCGGCGAGAAAGAGTAACAAACATCCATACTCATAAATTTTCACATTTATAATAATTATACAGATTATATATGAATGCTTTGACGCAGCATTAGAGCAATAACTTAAATCAGATAGACATGATTTAGATTTTAATTCATTTTTGTCTTTCAGAATTTGCCATCCCATTGTGTTCATATGAATGCATCAACGGAACGAATATGGTGTTATTTGTGCGAAAAGGAAGTTCACGTTATGGCGGCGCTAATGCATGCAAAAGTAAGTAAAATTATTTAAATATTTTAATATACTATGATGAAGTTAAACTTCTCGAGAGTATCATTTAAAGTAATATGTTTCCTACGTCGTCATATTATGTTTTAGTACCTGGGCGACCGAGCTTCGGTCGGAGTTTTGGCCTCAAAGGACAGATTTCTTTAAAAAAAAAAACTAGTAAAAACTTTGTATTCGACCGGCATTTGAACCCGGACACCTGTGATGGTCAATCTTGCGTCTCAACCGCTTGACCACGATGCTTATGCCCGAGTGTGCGAAATTATATTTTATATATTGTGCGTGGAATGATGCGAAAGAAAATCGCATGCAAACTCGAAAATACGCGTATTCCCAGACATAAGACTAATTAAGATCGATTTTTCGCCCCCGAAAACACCTACATACCAGCGATATCACCGTAATCGTTAGAGAAGTTTCCGAGATCGCCGGTACAAATAAATATACAAGAATTGCTCGTTTAAATATATTAGATTGTGGAATCTACGTACAATTATGTTCACAAATAATTAATATTAGGTGTATCCGTGATTGAAAAAGTTTTACTTAGTTCCCTTAAAGGTGACAATAAAAGGTCTATGAAGTGTTTGACCGTGTATTATAATATTATTATAGGTACGTATTATGTACAATAGCGAGGAATATTTATAACTCTTCGGCTGAATTGTAGCGTTAAATAAAAAAATTAACATGCATTTAGTCTATAACAGAGGATATCGGTTTTATATTTTACATGTATATTTATTTTATTTCTAATTTTCGCTTGGCCTCCACTCGCGTGGTAGTTTTAATACTTTTTTAGATTTACGCGAATATTTCATATTTTAAATAAAATTATCTTTTCGATTTTTTTTCGCGAATTTATTTAGATTTTTGTTTCCCGTCGTTTCGAATGCTTTATAGCAAACACGGTCACGGGAGTGATTGAGATCGAAAGAAATACGTAAAAAATTGAAATAGATAGTTTTATTTAAAATGTCAAATATTCGCGTGCATCCAGGATGCAGTGGCGCCATCTATTTGAACTTGGAAAGTACCTTCCTATTGCAAAAAATTTATCCAGATTTTATAAAGAATACGGGTTTTTAGGATTGACCGACATGATGCTACGCCACTGACGGGATGTAAACTTTTCATTAACCTGTTGAGTTACAGAGTTAAATATTAACAGAAACTCTGTGATATTTCGCGTTTATAATTTTAATACGATTTAAGTCATACACACAATAAAAGCACAGGTATACAAAAAAATCGGCTTTAAAGCTTACACACTAAAAAATGCGCCTATATACATTAAGTAATTACACAGCCTTTCCCGCTTTAATGAAAAAGAAGTGTGTTAAAATTATTTATCTTGTACTCACGTAACACATCATGTCTGGATAGTGATATTTTTTTTATTTATTGTTTCTAGTCACCAGATTCAACCACGGTGGAGGAAATGTCGGTGTCCCGTCTTGGGCCAGTGGGGATCAACGTCAACTCAGACGATGATCTCGACCCAGACGAAATGGACTACGACGATGAGCAGCGTCCTAGAGGTATACATCGATATTTTATTTATTTGACCTCATATTGCACTAAAAATTCAATGAAATCAAATGGAGCTGCAAGGTTCAAATCCAAGGTCAAATCGCGCTTCTGATATTTCGATGTGCGTCTCATTTTCAACATAATTACCACTTGTCTTACGCTAAAGGAAAAAATCGAAAGGTAACCTATATATCTGAGAGAATTTAGCAAGTTTTCGGAAGACATGTGAAGTCCGCCAACTTTCACTTGGCCTGCGTGGTGGACTATGCCCTGACCCCCCTCGTATTGAAGGGAGGCCCGTGCCCAGCAGTGACGTTAAACAGGGGGTTGAAATACATAAAAAAACACCTTATTTTTCCAGGGTTAGTGGGACTCCAGAACATGGGCAACACGTGCTATATGAACGCGGCCCTACAAGCGCTCAGCAACACCCAGCCGCTCACGTCGTACTTCCTGGAGTGCGCGGCGGCCGTGGCCGTGCTGGCGGGAGACAAGAAGCCCGGACTTAGTCGGTAATGTTAATGATTGGTACAAGTTTTTTTTACTTAATCCATACTAATATTATAAATGCGGAAGTAACTCTGTCTTGTTTGTATGTTACGTTTTTACGCTTAATCCGCTGCACCGATTTAGATGAAATTTAGTATGGAGGTAGTTCGAGACCCTGGGAAGGACATAGGACAGTTTTTATCCCGTAAATCATCACTTAAGAAGGTGAAAAGGGGGGTAAAAGTTTTTATAGGAAATCAATAATTTCTCAAGTAAGGGATATATACTCATCATAGCTTTGTAGATATAGTCTATCTATTCCATACTTAGCGTCAAATTACTAGGCACTATATTTTGCTGATTATGAGTTTATATTAATTTTGTGTTTTTGTGGACAATGTTATTTATGGCTGCATGGTAGAAAATAAATGCTGCAAACATTCCATGCGGTGTTGTTCTTTATAGTATTTTTGTCATTTTGATCTCTTTAAGTACTAGCGACCTACCCTCACTTCGCTCGGGTTCGTCCCTAGCTTGTATCCCAATATAAGCTTTCATCCCCATTTTCACCCCCTTAAGGGATAATTTCCGGGATAAAAAGTATCCTATGTTCTTCCCAGGGTCTCAAAGTAGCTTCTTACCAAATTTCATCTAAATCGGTTCTGTAGTTCCAGCGATTACCCCTTACAAACTCACAAACTTTACCTCTTTATAATATTAGCATGTACATGTAGGCAAAACAGTCAACTAAAGTATCAAAATCATCCCAATTGTAATAATAAGAAATACTAACTCATGCAGGGTTTATGGTTTATTAGTATATAAATATTTGTTAAAATAAAAATAAATTGCATGAAAGAGACGGCAATACATGTAAGATTATATTTTGTTTACAGAGCATACCAAAAATTAATTAAAGAAATGTGGAGTAGGAAGACAAGAGGCTACGTTGTACCTAATGGTATTCTGTATGGAATACGAAATGTGAGTGTAATTATTATACTATGTAATATTTTTAACTAACAATTTATTCTCACTTTGCTCGGGTGCGTCCCTGGCTGCGTTTTAATTTTGAACGAAACCCTAATTCATTCAAAAATAAAGTAACCTATGTATTTTTATTTTTATAATTACTAGCGCCCCTAGTTACTTTAAAAATGGGGGAAGAGGGGGGGGGGGGTGTAGAAGAAAAGAAATATTTTACGACCTATTCTGATACGTACCAAATGTACGAAAAAAATCGATCGAGCCTTTTCGGAGGAGTGTTACCACAAACACCGTGACACGAGATATTTAATACTAAATTATTTATAAAAAAATGTGTATATTTAGTATTAATAAATTTATAACAATTAATTAGTATTATATTTATATTTTGATTTGTTTTAATCGAGGTATGTGCCACAGCGCCAAAGAAGTTTCACTTTAAACGCGCGTAAAGGTTACACGCACTCATTTATTTTATATGATGTCCAGGTGCACCCCATGTTCCGTGGATACCACCAACACGACACACAAGAGTTCCTCAGGTGTTTTTTAGATCAGCTTCATGAAGAGCTTAAAGAACCGGTAAAGTTGGTGTTTTATTATTTATTATTATTTTAAATTTGATTTTCTCTTGAGACGACAATTATTACGTATGTACTGTGATGTATAATAATAAACGGAAACTTCACACTAGATAGCCCGTACACTATTATTCAAAAATATAAGGTATATGCAGTGTATTAGGGTTCCGCATCCGAAGGGTGCTAACGGCACCTTTAATTACTAAGCCTCCGCTGTCCGTCTGTCTGTCAGCGCCCAGCGGGCTGTATCTCATGAACTGTAATAGGCAGAGATTTAAATTTTTCACAGAGTGTGTATTTCTATCGCCGCTATTACAACAAATAATAAATTAAAAAGTACATAGTGTTATTTATTGTACGATGATACAATGGATGGATGGAACGGTTCCCGTTCGTGTGCAAGTATGACCCGCACTTGACCAGGTTTTTTATATCTTTAGTACTAAGAATCTTTAAAGATGTCCTCCTATTTGAATATCTTAAGACGACAAATCTCACTCAGACTAGCCTTCTATTAGCTAATATTATAGTACAAATTCAAAAAAAAAGTATTGATAAAATATTCATTACAAAATCTCTAACAAAGTTATTACTGAATGTCCACAGATAGGTGCGCTCGATATTTGCTATACCCTCATAGTCCGATAAAATTTTTATTCAACTCGACAGCTGAATCCAGGACACTTCATGTATTTTATATGGAGTATTTTCGACGATTTCAGCTGTCGATATGCATAATACAATAGATGCCTATTCTCCAAGCCACTATATTGCACTACCTCCAAAATGTGATATTGAAATTAAGAAATTAAATAATCAACTTAGAAATTAAATAATCATTTTTGCCGAAACTTAGACCCCAAACATAGATTTTATGCCTTTTATACTTTAGCGATTAGACAAAAGGACAATTATATATAACTGACTAGTGACTCACCCTCGCTCCGTTCGCGTTTGTCCCTAGATACATTTTTACGGTTAGTATAGATTTCTCAGAAACGAGATATTTTCCCGCTTTAAAGTGTTCTATATGTTGATATGTTCCATCAAAATCTGTCCAGTGGTTTTCTCGTAATGCGGTCACAGACAGACAGACAAAAATTCTAAACACTATAGATTGGGCCTCCGTATCGGTAATAATAACCATTTCAATAACATTTTCCAAAACGTATTTAATGCACAGGTTCAACCCAGAATTTTATTATATGTATAGATGACATAAAATGGTTGTATTAAACAGGTGTGGGAAAGCACATCAGAGGATAAGCTTACTTCAGAGGCAGACAGAGACCATGACACTAGGAATATTCATATACGACGAAGAGCTGCATCCTCTGGAGGTAAAAACCAATTTATTATTGGTTCAATTTATATTGTTGTATATTTATTTCAACTAGAATAATTACCTAAACACAATTGGTAACAATTTTAAGAGAAAATTTTAAATGGGATTGTGTATCTAGTACTTTTTTGATGATTATATGAAAAATATTGATAATAAAATGAATAATTGATAATAATATAAACTAATTTGGGGCAGTGGGAGCTCAGTGGGGTCACGCTTGGTTTGGGAAAACCGAGTGAAACTGGTTCAAACCCTGGACTCGCACCTCTGATATTTTCATGTGCGAATCATTTCCAACATGATTACCACTTGCCTTACTGAGAGAACCTAGCAAGTTTTCAAAACATGTGAAGTCCGCCAACACGCACTTGCAGAGTTATGGACTTTGTCCTAGACCTCCTCGTGTTGAAGGGTGGACTGTGCCCCAGCAGTGGGACGTTAAAAAAGGGCTGAATACGAACTAATTTACTTTTAATCATTATCACTATATAGTACAAAACTCTTCCCGCTCTCTGTCTGTCATTATGTATGTTTAGATCTTTAAAACTACGCAACGGATTTTGATGCGGTTTTTTTTTAATAGATAGAGTGATTCAAGAGAAAGGTTTATATGTATAATACATGCATATTATAGTACAGAAAAGCTGAGAAATTCAAAGATTTGTATTTATAACCCGAGCGTAGCGAGGGTGTGTCGCTAGTTTGTTTTTTTTATCATTTCTGTAGCAGTTCTAATATAGCGCATAATCCACAGCAAGTGACGCGCCGTACTTCGCCCGCATGCGACGGAAGTCGCCCGCGCCCTCTACCTTTAGTGAACGAAACGATGGGTATTTAAGGTACATTATATTTTAAGTTTAAATAAATTATACTTTTAAAAATACGCTAAAACGAAACCTGGCTCGAACATTAGATTGACTCTGTAATAGGTAATTATAATCGATTTCCAAGATTTGCTTACATTATTAGTTACAAATGTAACTAATAACATTATTTTTAATTAAATTAAGAAAAAAATAATATACAATTAACACTAAAGTGATAACTACGTGTCTATATGTATACATAATTTAATTTGTTTTACCTAATGTTTAATCTAGAATATTAATTACTATGTTTTTGACATCTTAATATGTAATTGTGAAAACGGACACAATGTGTAAGTGTGTTTGTTTTTAAACAGCTATGCATAATTGTGTCTATTTACTTGATTTAATTTTTTGTAAAATATATGATAACTACTGGCAAATCTTATTAAATAAATAAGTAAATAATTGTTTTAAATATATGTTAATAGGGTGCAATCAGAGGGCGTGGCGCGACACAAGCGGTCGGCCAGCTTCGGCGGGACGCACCATTTCGCATACGACGTGCACACACATCAAATTAATGGTTAGTACATACTAATATAATTAATTTTAATTGTATATCTTTATATAACAAATCCGGTGTGCGTGTGTTCCTCGCCTCCTAAACGGCTTGAACTAAACACACCGGCATATTTAGCGGAACATAAAATAAAGGTTTGATATCAGTATCAAATAAGGTTGCTGGCTGGTTTATACTTCATTTAATTTAAAAAGAAATATTTTCAAATTAAGAAAACAACTGAACATCACATTTTATGCAATTGTTTTAATTTTATTCAAATACACCTTATCTGGAGCGAACTTCGAGTATTTCTTCCTTCTGAGTTTGATTTAAAATTTTATTGAAATACTGTTTTTTGTTAGTTTTTTTTTAATCGCGTATCTTTATGGAGTTGAGGACTGAATTATGCCTGACTTAGACCCAACGGAGATTGCCAGGGCACTCGAAATGCGAAGAAATGGTCAAACCTACAGAGTGATATCCAGAGATCTTCGTCGACCAGTTTCAACGATCCATCGCAGTATCCAATGGTTCAGGGAGACCGGTACTTATGTGAGAAAAGCAGGACAAGGCAGAAAAATACGCCCTTCGAGTAGGGATGACCGTTTCATTCGGCTTCGTGTATGTAGGAACCCCCGTTTGACAGCCTTCCAAGCCCGACATGAGTTAGAAGCAGTGCGGGGTGTAACCGTAAGTGAGCGTACGGTACGAAGAAGGTTCGAAGAAGCTGGTTTGGGTTCATTCCCAAGGCTCGAGGTAAATCATCGTAGAAACAGGTTAACTTTTGCTGAGGAACATCGACTTTGGAACGCGGACCAATGGAGTAAGGTATTGTTTAGTGATGAGTGTAGAATTCTCTTAAATCAAATTGACGGCAGGCAAAGAATATACAGACGCAAAGGAGAACGATACATTCAGACAAACTTTGAAACTACAGTTGCATACGGTGGTGGATCAATAATGGTTTGGGCGGGCATTTGTTTGGGCGCTCGCACAGACTTGGTAGTGATTGACAGAGAGAGTCTGACTGTAGACCGCTATATCAGAGAAGTTTTAGAAGAAAATGTCGTACCGTTTGCCCCATATATCGGTGACGATTTTGTTTTTATGCAGGATAATGCTCGGCCGCATACCGCTCGGGTAACTCAAGCTTATCTGAATGATATGAATATCACTGTTATGGAGTGGCCGGCGAGATCACCAGATATGAACCCAATAGAGCACGTTTGGGACTTGCTGAAAAGAAAAGTTAAGTCCAGAATTCCAGCTCCTGCCAACGTGGGTGAACTGCGAATCACCGTAGTTGAGGAATGGCGGAGACTATCCCAGGAGACCATCGATAACATCATTCTCAGTATGCCTAGACGGGTAGAAACTTTAATAAGAGCACGTGGAGGAAATACGCGATATTAATCACCATTTTTCTAATTTAATTAATTGTTATTTTAATATTAATTTTCACTTTTCCCGGTTATATGAAAAGTTCAAAAATGTACAATTTTTCACAAATAGCCTTTACTCGCAAAATCTGTTTTTAATGTGATCTCATTTTAAGTAAAACAAATGAAACTTTAAATAACAAAAGAAGTGTAGTAAGTAGATTTTAAAATAAAACCATATTTTTTTAATAATGGACCTTTTTTTTGTGTTCCGCTAAATATGCCGGCGAGTGTATTTTAGTGAAATTTTTTCAAAAAACATTTCATTTTTTTATCGAACCGATTTGGAAAAATAATAAGATATTGCAAAAAAGTGTAAAGTAGTTTAGACACTCAATAGCTACAAATATATAATGTTTGGTAAATATTTATTTTTGCTTGTGGCTAATTTTACGTGTTACAGATGTTGATAAAAAATAATTTATGTGTTCCGATATAAATATAGTGTATACTATTATATAATTAACTTATTGAAACCGTAATAAACAAAAATTAACAATATTTTCGATAGCAAACAAATGCAAAGTTTATAGTAACAGATACTTAATGTGTACACGCCACAGGTATGGCAGAGGCCCACCAGAAGGACGTGGGTTCGGAGTCGGAGCTGTCGTGCTCGAGCGAGGCGGAGGAGCGCTACGAGACATGCAGCAGCGGCGCCAGCGACGCGCCCGACCCTCCGTCTGTACACACTTCTACCCTCCTTATACACAGTCCAATCCATATAAACAATAAACATATTAATATATTTTTATAGCAAAGGATTTGATTTATAGATTACAGATATATATTCTTTATATAATTCTTTAGCTTAAAAAGTATAAAATATCTGTGATCCGTGACTGCAGCACGAGAAAACCACTGGATAGATTTTGATGAAATTTGGTATGATGATAGTTGGTTATCCGGGTCAAAAAAACACCTCAAAGCATTTACTTGAAAATCAAGTTCAATATTCTCATTCCAGTGCACGCAGCACGTGGTGCGCGGGCGGCAGCGCGGGCGACGGCGGCGGCGGCGCGCGCTACCGCAGCATCGTGTCCGACGTGTTCGACGGCAAGCTGCTGTCCTCCGTGCAGTGCCTCATCTGTGACAGGGTGCGTGTGGGTGACGAGGGTTCCGTACCGAAAAAGGAGAAAGGGAAACCGTTATAGGATCACTTTGTTGCCCTTCTGTCTGTTTGTATCAACTTTTCGTAAGGAACGCGTGGGGGGTATCAAGTTGAAATTAATATCGAATACTCAGGTTAAAGATTAAACTTCTATGTCAAAGCAGTCAAAAGATACAGCCGTTTATGCTGCGTGTATTGATCTCTCGCAAGGGAATCAAAACCTTATAGGGGTACTTCCCGTCGACCTAGGATCATTTGGCAAAAAGCACTGTCTTAATCAAATATGTACATAATAATCAAAACAGTCAAATTGTAGTTACATCACAAAAAAATATGTTTTGCGATTATAAACTTAACTTACTTATAGAAGTTTCAGTGTACGAGTCAGACTCACACTTGTCCAATTTTTTTTATAATGTAAATATTCGTAAAGATGTTATGTAAAATCTGTTCATAATAGAAAGTGTAATTGAAAGATATTATAATTACTCTTTATTTATTTCTTTTATTATATTTCATTTATTACCTACTAGCGATTTAACCTCGCTTCGCTCGGGTTCGTTCTCATTCCTTTTACCTTTCATTCCTATTTTCACCCCCCTAAGGGATGATTTCCGGGATAGAAACTATCCCATGTTTTGGCCAGGGTCTCAAACTATCTTCTTACCAAATTTCATCTAAATCGGTGCAGTACTTGCTTACTTATTATTATTATTATTACTTGTGGAGTCTATTCAGTACAAACAAACAACAAAAAATCAAATCTTTTCTCTTTACAATATTAGTATAGATTATATATAAATGTGAAAGTATGTTTATGTGTGTATGTTTGTGACTTCGTCAAATTATAATGAGTGAACGGATTTAGATGAAATTTACTATATAAATTGACTATGACGTAGAATAACATATAGTAAATAGGTACGCAGCTATGCATGCATGTATGCTATGCATTATATGCTATGAAGCTATGAATATATACATGAGCAATACACGGTAAATCGCTAGTAGTATATAATGCTAATACGCGTGATATGCGCAGGTGTCGACACGCGTGGAGACGTTCCAGGACCTGTCGCTGCCGATCCCCTCGCGCGAGCATCTCGCCGTGCTGCGCTGCCAGCACGCGCCGCACCACGCCACGCAGGACTCTTGGGTAATTACACCATACTACACTATACACCTTTCATCTTGCCACCTACATCGCCATTCCATTCACCTTGCTATTACTACCAGGGCTGCCAGTAGAGACAACTTTCTTTTTTTTTTCGCTGGGGAAACCCATCATGGGGACCCTGCCGGCCGTCATAGCGGGCAAGGTACTGTGAGACTCCTACTCACTAAAACCCACAGCGAAACCCATCGCCGCAGTGCAATGGGGCGTTGCAGGATCGCTTGCGCACACACTACAACACCCCTGTGCCAGTAGAGACAACTGCTGCCAGTAGAGCCAACTTATTTTATACCGCTGGGTCACTCAAATTATACCAAATTAAATTTTAATATCTAAATTAACAAAACTGTTGAGAAATAGTCCGTGATCAACAAAAAAAAACGTAAAAACTTTAAATGAAATATACGTATCCAATTATACGATCTGGCAGCCCTGATTACTACCTACCTACCTTACCCTACCACCTAACTTGCCCTACCACCTACCTTACCGCACCACCTATCATACCTACCTGTAGTAAATCACATATCTGCTTATACACAGATCTGGTGGCTATTTAGCTGGCTGCGGTCGTGGTTCTACGGACCGGTCGTGTCCCTGCAGGACTGCCTCGCGGCATTCTTTAGTGCGGATGAACTAAAAGGAGATAATATGTACAGGTAAAACCTTATGTGTATTTTATATGCTTTATTATTGGTCCTAGGTAATTTCTTAATTTAAAGTACTTAATTACATCTATTTTTTTTTCGTGATGCGTTAACAATCTTACTAAAAATTGGTCGTTATTTTTACATACTCTGACGACACGCTGGGCTCTATATATATTATCATAACAAAACCATAGACTCAATATAGACTTGACACATAAACAATATTATTTGTATATCAAGCATATTTTTTTTTTAAGATTTCATGTGTCATTTTAGTGAATTTGATCACAATGTTCCTTCAGCTGTTCCCGTTGCAACAAACTGCGTAACGGCATAAAAATGTCAGGCGTGATCCGGCTACCGGAAGTGCTGTGTGTGCACCTCAAGCGCTTCCGCCACGAGCTCATGTTCAGCGCCAAAGTGGCGGCGAGGGTGTCATTCCCTATAAACGACTTGAATATGGCGCCGTATACACATAAAGGTATAATCGATTGTTCACCACTTACTCTCCACTGCTGGGCACAGTTCTATCAATTAAAAAAACCGCATCCAAATCGGTCCACTCATTTAAGAGCTACGGTGATACAAACAGACACACATAGCGATTAAACACCCCTTTTTTGCGTCGGAGGTTAAAGAAATTAACCAATCAGTGCGATTCCAGAGTGCACGTCCAAAGTGAGCAGGTACGCGCTGACGGCGGTCATCTGCCACGCGGGCACGGCGGGCGGCGGCCACTACACGTGCGCGGCGCGCGGGCCCGACGGATGCTGGCGGGCCTACGACGACGCCGCCGTGCTGCCGCTCGCGCCGCACCATCTGGCCGCCTGTGAAGCTTACGTGCTGTTTTATAGGTGAGGTGTTTGTTTGTTTTTTTTTTAATTGCCTCGGTTTTTTGTGGCCGCAGATCTGAAGGTCAAGGGTTCGAGCCGACTCGGGTCAAGTTTTATTATTTAGTTTTTATGTTGGCATATTATCAGTAGTAGATCTCAGAATTGGGAAGTTGGCGGTGTGTCACCCCCGTGTCTCGGAGAGCACGTAAAGCCATTTGTCCTACGCCATAACTCGGTCGTGTCCAAGTATCGTCTCATCGGACTTTGAAATGAAATGATTTAGTCACGCAAAGAGAGAAGTCCCATGGCATAGGTATTTAATATGATAAAAGGTATCTCCAACACTTTAAATGTGAAATTTCTGTGTTAGTGAAATAAATTGTTACTTCGAACCAGTGTAACATTTTGACCGTCAAGGTAATTTTTATTATGTACTAAGAGCACCCCGTGTGACGTCATCATGAGTACCAGGCGAGCATAAGCGTTAAGGAGTTCGTACGCACTGTTATGACGAGGCCCTAGGAGGTTTTTGGTCCCAATTATATTGTCATCATCATAGTATGAGCTAAAAGGTAGTCTATAAAGTAACGTCATCATCAGTACCAGGAGGTCATAAGTGTTAGGAGTATATGTTTTAAGAAATCTGTGCAGGCTTTTATGTAGAATATAAAATATAGAATTATAGAGCTTGGGATCCGACAAAGAAAAATGTCAAAGTTAATAACAGTAGTGTAATTTTGCTATTTACGTTACTATTCATGATTTTCTAATTTTGCAAAAAAAAAATCTTTTCGTATTTATTCGTATACTAATGATAAACTTATAGTTTTGTTAAAAAATGTATATAATAATATCAAAAATATCTCTTACTCGTGTGAGAGTAAACCGTAGTTATGCAGACCACAACCACCGGGTGGTCGCTCCCACTGTCCACCCTACTATTACGAAAACACCAGAAGCAACCCAAGTACGTCTCATAGCTTTACACTCGGCAGCATTTGCTACACATTACAGAGCATAACTTATACATACATAAATTAAAATAATTGTATTGAAAAAGTAAGATTTTTAAATAAAATATGCATTATTTATTTTTTACAGAAAAGTGAACCCCCAAATGACGATATTGCGACAGAAAGCAAAGGAAATACTTGAAACTGCCAGTTCAGAGCCTAATGATATCAAATTCTATATCTCTAAGCAATGGATTAATAAGTAAGTTGTTGTATGTTTTTGTTTTGAATTAATTCATTGTAAACAGTGGCGCGTAGACATATTATGTATATATATATATGTACACAAATTGAAATTACTTACACACATTAAATTTTAACAATATTATTTTTCATAATATTTAAAATGGAAACAAAATTAGAAGCTGTAACTATTACTGTACTTCCTGCATCGATCCTTTCTGTGTTTTTATTGTACATGTAAATGAATATGTACAGTTGGATAAATGTATAATATATATACAAAATATAACAAAAAGAAAAAAATGAAGGTATCCACCGTAAAATATGTCCATGTCTTTTGTGTGTGTGTGTGTTTTTTAAATGTAACATTCGACTTTCAAACTTGCATTTATAGGTAAATAAATATGAACAATTATATAAAATAAAAGAACAATATAAATCCTGGTAACCAAACACGTTTCAAACATTTCCACACGTGCAGATTCAACACGTGGGCGGAACCGGGGCCGATAGACAACAGCGATTTCGTGTGCGTGCACGGTGGCGTGCGGCCCGAGCGCGCGCCGCACCTGCCCGCGCTCGCCGTCAAGCTGCCGCAGCCGATGTGGGACTTCCTGCACAGCCAGTGAGTGTGCACACACACATGCACACGCTCGTATACGCGCGCGCTTGTGTGCTCTCACGCTTATATACACACACAACATAATCGATGGCTCACTATTACAAGGTTCTATGTTACAATTTTAGTATTTAGTTATTAATGCTACAAGGTCTATGTATCATTAGCTACAGTTTTGCAAAAACAAACCACTAGATAGCGGCACTATAACTACAAAATATTCAATTCTACATAGTTCTATGTTGTTTTTTTTTTACGATAACAAAATAAAGTTCTATGTAAAAATTACTAAACTTCATTAAAATGAACATAGAACCTTGTAATAGTAAGCCAACGAATTATGCCAGTGCGATGTAAGATCGGCGTTAAATCGCACAGCGCCATCTAGTGGTAGCGATATGGTTAATATTCGTCTCACCATATATATTTTTTTTTAATTTACATAATATACTACTTTTTATCATCGCATCTGCCAAAAGACCAGAGTCGCGGACAAACCCTAGAATATAATATAAGAATTTTTATTAAACTATACATAATATCATTTATTTACAACTGGCGTTTTCCCGCAGCTTCGCCTGCGTATTTTATAATTTATTTATTACCATAAACTATAGCTTATGTGCTACTCAGATGTATAAGTTACTAGTGACTAACCTCGTCTCCTCGACACTAAGGCTCTTTTTGCCATACATTTTGTTTTATTTTAAACTGTTTAGGCAGCACACACCGATAACACAACTCAAATATCACTTCCGATTTTATTTAAAGTTATTTAATTTTGGAGAGTAAATTCATTTTTATCGGAATAAAATATAGCCTTATAGCACTCAGCGGTAATATAGCTTTCTATTAGTGATAGAGTATTTAGAATTGGATCAGTAGTTTTAGAGATTACATAAATTCAAACTTATAAACTTACAAAGTTTACCTCTTTATAGCAAGCAGGATGGAACAAATGCACGAATTTCGTGGTTTTCTGTAATTTTGAAATACAATGTTTGGTCTAGAGATTTTATCCTTACATAACAGCCTATCGATTAGTTAAATAAGAATAGTTAATTTTTTGCATTTTTAGTTCGTTTCTGTACGGGCTCAGGTAAACTTTAATATTTAAGATAATTTTCTTCCATGTCCCCTCTATTTGTTCCACCTGTATATTGTAGATACTAGCGACTCATCCTCGCTTAGCTCGGGTTCGTCGCTAGCTTGCTTCCCAATACAAACTTTCATCCTCATTTTCACCCACTTAATGAATGATTTCCGGAATAAAAAGTGTCCTTTGTCCTTCCCAGGGTCTCAAACTATTTTCTTACCAAATTTCATCTAAATTGGTTCAGTAGACCCAGAGATTACAGGGGTACTACGTCACAAACTCACAAATAAACCTCTTTAAAATATTAGTATAGTGTATCGATAATTAAAGTAAGTAATACAATACTGCAGGTTCGGCGGCGGGCCAGCGGTGTCGCACGCGCACGAGTGCGGCGTGTGCGCGCGCGCGGCGCAGCGGCTGCGGGCGCGGCGCGCGCGCGAGCTGGCCGCCTTCGCTGACTTGCACACGTTATTTCAGGTAATTTTAGGTTTAATAATTTCGTCATCTCCGTGACGGATCACAGCTATATTACTCGAAAAATATTAAAGCTGAAATTTGGTAGGTAAGTAGGGTTGACACTATTAAGTGCCACCCTATTTTTTTTATTTTTTTGTATGGACATGTAATTGAGGGATGTGATGGGAAAAAATGTTTAAGTTCATATAAGCGTGAGAGATATCTTTTGATATGAAATTTATGTTTCTAAAAGGCTTCTTGTTCAATCAAAAACATTGTGTCAACAAAACAGACTGCAAACAGCTGAAAATAAAGAGGAATGGAAAAATATATTATATACTTGACAGGGTTAAATACTTTTATTTGTTTTTCTTGTATCTTATTGCCAATGTCTACTCCTCCTGTCTTCGTGTTTTAACGAGGCCAATTTATTACAAGTCAGGCACAAAGTCCTACGTGTGTTGATATTGTCAACAGCTCGAGCGGGATAAAACAGGTTATGTCAATTGTCAACGTTCATTGTGCTCATCACTGAGCTGTCACTCAACACCGTTGTTTTGTGTAGTTGTGTACCTATTGTTTGCACGGTTGAATATCTCCGTGTAACCGTATGAATACCTCTGAAAATGTAAGTATTACTAAGGTAATATGGTATAATAATGGCGCAGGAGCAAGAGGACCCACTGGCAGTGTACGCGATCAGCATGGCGTGGTTCCGCCAGTGGCAGGGCTTCGTGCGCGGACAGCGCGCGCCGCCGCCGCCGCTCGACAACCGCGACATCGTCATAGACCAGGTACACACCACACAACACACTTTCAAATCAAATTTGGAATAGTCAAGGACCAAGCACACACCTTGTATTCAGCCCTTTTTAACGTCAAACTGCTGGGCCCGGGCCGTCCTTCAATACGAGAGGGATTAGACCGTAGTCCACCGCGCTGACCTAGCGCGGGTTGGCGGACTGAGCATGTCTTTCGAAAACTTACTAAGTTCTCTGAGACATGCAGGTTTCCTCACGATGTTTACCTTCACCATAGGACGGACAAGTGGTAATCATGTTGGAAATGATTCACACATGAAAATAGAAGTGTAAGACTCGGGATTTGATCCCGCTTCACTCGGTTTTCCACGCGAGCGCGTTACCATTGGGCTACCACTCCCATCATCGTTAACTTCATATCAATTTCAAGTTTTAGTATGTACAATCACGATAGCAAAATGACAATCAAGGTTACTATAAGTTCTAAGTAATTAAAGTCTTCTAAAGTGTTGTTTAACTAAAATAGTTTTATAACTGTTTAGGACAAATCCCACTTATTGTTAGTCAAATCGTACAAAACGAATTTGGTTTCCTTTAATAGACTACTATTTTAATTTCATTATTTTATTACATACATTCCTTTAATCATTGCAGGAAATCGATGGTATCAAAACCTGCGTGTTAAAACCGGGGTCCGATCACGCGCAACTCAGTGAGGAACTGTGGAGATTCTTCACCGACATATACGGAGGCGGCCCCGAGGTCAGGCTCAAGTCACCCCCACACGAAGCCGTTCCCAGGCGACTGTCCAGAAAGTACTCTGAATCCGACAAAGAAGAATACTGCACGAAATCCACATCAGAAGTGAATATACGAGACACAATCCAAAGTGAACTCCAAAAGAACCAATCGCTCCAAAACATTAAAAGACGGTACAAGACAAGAAATGATAAAGAGATCACATACAGGCACTTCCAATACAAAAAGCACGAACCCAACGGCAACTATGACTCCGACGAAGAAATGGATGTCAGTCAAAGTTATGCCAAAATGGAAAACGGCATAGACAGCTCGGACCATGACGCAAACGATAATCCCATAACGAGGCACGGACATACTGACACTGAACTGCCAAACTTAGATAGTATATCACTAAAAAATAAACCCAAATCAAACAAAGTTAGAAAAATGAAGCGTAGGACAGTTAAATGATTTTATCAAGCGTTTCATTTTGTACACAGGCTGATACAAAGAAACACGGAACATTCCTATGCCGGTGATTGGTATTGACACGTGCATTTATGGTTGTTTTATTATGTCCGGTTTTTGTAGTGTGAGTTGTGACGGACATTCAATGGTAGTAATGTATTGTTCAATTAATATTCGATAGGATTTTATAAAAAATATTGTGCGTTTATATAATATTATATAATTATAATAAAAATAATAAATTTAATATGTTCTATTTGATGAGTTGAAAGCGAGTAGGACTTATCGATGTTATTGCGAAAATGAAATTGTCAATTCATCTGTCACTGTCAAAGCTCGCCCTACAATAACCACACATTGTGACACTGGAAAATAAAATATTTTTCTATAGTTATACGTCATCCGCGGCCTCGCACCGCTCCAAGTGTTAGCATTTTAGTACAATTTTAGTTCAAATTTAAGGTTTAGGAACCTTCTTACCTTGATTTGTACAGAGTGTATATTATATGAATGTATATCTAATAATAATACTAGTTAGAGATGGGCGAATTGGAATGATTCAAATAATTTTATCTGAAGTACTAAATAAGGTTATTTAAGGAAAAAATATGTATAGATATTGTATATTTTCAAAAATGTAGCTTTTATGGTCAAGTTAAAAAAAATATATTAGTATTCTAAATTTTTTTTGACAGACTGTTCATTATAGTTAGTACAGTAGACATACCAAAAAATAACAAATTATAAAAAAAATAAATTATAAAAATACTTGTGGATAAGCATTCGTTTTTTTTTATTTCGCCTACGAATCATTCAATAAGTATATTTATAAATAATCGCCCATCTCTATTAAACACTGTATAAATGTCATGTTTGTAATCTATGCATTTCTTCATTGTACCATGGGTTAGGTATTTATTTTGTTATTCCTGGTTCTAAGTCTATGTGTTATTTGTTAATGGATTGATCAGCAATAAAATATATTTCAACTATATTAACTTGCTTTTGGTTCATTTTCTCAACACCCCACATTGAGTTATGTAACAAAGATGCACATATAAATAAATAAGATAGTGTTAGAAATACTGTTTGAAGCCTGAAATGGTATATTTTTTCATTGTTACACTTAATATATTTGCAAAAAACTATTTTATAAACATGTATTATTTCTTTTAATAATAAAAACTCATCAGTAGTAATATTTTATGGGTGCATTAAGGTTTTATTTTATTTATTAACTAGCGACTCACCCTCGCTCCGCTCGGGGTCGCTCCCTAGTTACGTATGAAAGTTTAGTGTAGATTTCTCAGGATGAAATATTTTGCTGCACTGAAAAGTATCCTATATGTTGGCCCGGGTAACCAGCTATCAACATCCAAATTTCATCAAAATTTGTCCAGTAGTTGTCAGTGGTTCCCAGACAAACGGACAGACAAAATTTTTTAAAACTACAGAATCTGCCTCTGCGTCTATAAATGATTATTTCAATAAAATTTTCCAAAAATATTTCATGTACAGATTCAACTCAAAATTTTATTATATGTACATATAGATAATTCAACTTTTAAATTCAAAATGCAATGTCTACAAAAAATCAGGTACTTAAGAGATAAAAACAGTGATGTTCAAAATATTTTATTACAATGAAGACCATAATTACATTGTGTTATTATAAACCAGGTACAATGTTTATAATTATTTAATAGGCATTGCGAGGGTGTATTCGGTACAAAATCTATATTATGTTAGTGCTACCTTCATATTTAACAATAGATGGTTAGATGTATATCTTTAAATTTTGATTAAAATATAAAAAAATGTTTTATTTATAAAATCTTTTTGCGGCAGTGCATTTTACAAAAGAACTAACAATTTCGGCACAAGGTATATCAGAAATCACAATATGTTTAGATGTTAAAATGACATATAAAATGACTTAAAAAAATTCAACAGTCTTAGAATTCAGAATAACCTGTAAAAATATACTTTAATTTACATTCACAACTATCCTAAGATTCATAATATCGACTGAAACGGACTAATCAACTGTAGATTTTCTATACATATTTTTACTGTTTAACATTTATTTAATATAAAATGCCTTACTTGAAAAGCGTAATAAAATAGATTCTCTGTATTTAAATAGTAGGTAGGCAAATATTTCTAAAAATATATTTTTTTTAATAATTCAAACAACAATTATTTTTAAGACCCCTCTTTATGTATTCTTACCTTTTTTTATATTATAATAAGTAATTCAATTTCCATTATCAATGTAAAAAATGAAAATTATGGATTTTTTATATTTTTTGTGATTTTGTAAATTATTTTTTTTTCTCATGGGTATAATATTTTACTACTTGTTTTCGTTGCAATTAACCAAACTTAAGCTTAAAGTTATATAAATAAAAAATATTCGAACTCTTACATTTTTAAACACAAAATAGAAATTATGTAATTTTTTTTGGTATTACACAACATATTTTCAATAAAAAAATATAAATACGAGTTACACTCATTAGCTGATAAAAAAATAAAAACTGGGAAAGAACATAATAACAATTATAATTATGCATATAAATATTTAAAAAAAGTAAGTGAACACTTTGTGTTACAAAAAAACAATTATTGACATACAAGTTATCATCTGTTGACTCTTCATAGACATAGCTAGAATGTAAAGGGGTGTTAAAATTATAATCATCTCTTTATTCCTTGTCTTTCCAGTACTCCTCAATAAGTAATGCAAACTGAATCCTATACAACTCCTAGCTACACCTAAGCCATTCAAAAAATAAATGCCAATATTTATGTACTTATATTACATATTGAAGAATGGCAATACAAGTCTTTGATATGTAACAAGGTATATAATCTAAAACATAATTACAAAAATATATTGCATATATCATTGTATAAATAATAAATATATGAGGATATATCAAGTCCTGTGCTATTATCTCTATTTGTACTCAGTGTGGGTTTGCACCTATTGTTATTTAAAATATATATATATATTAAAAGCCAGTAAAATATCACTTAGTTTTTGCCTATTTGAGATAAATTGCTGCTATTTTATGACTAGCGGTTTAAGACTGATTGAATAAAATTCCAAACAAACATACAAAGGAGGATAGTTCACTTTCAAGAAGAGGCACTCTATGGTAATGTACATGCTTAAAAATTTAAAATATTTAATTGATAAAATTGAACAGCTTGATAAGCTGTTTGCTTGAATAGGGTATACTATTTTTGACTGAAATCATCAGTATTTTTTGTGAGTATGTGTACTCTTTATTTTTTCAAATGTTACCTATATTATTTATTTAAAAAAATATTGCTTAAAGAATTACTTGAACCGTAAGTCTCAAAAGTATCTGTTTTTTTTTTTAATTTTTTACATTATCAATACCTGAAGGCCAGATCGAAAAAAAAATAGTATTTTTCTTTTCATATATTTTTTGCTATGTAGGTATATGCTAAAGATAAAAGCAATCTGGATTTTTAGTCATTGTAAATTAATGAATGTTATTGCTTACTTTGTTCTAATTATGTTTCCTTTAAATTTAAAAGCATAAGATGAACATGTGGAAAATATAAAATATATACCAAAAAGATGTAATGGAATGGCCCTAAATAATGATATTTTTTTAGAAACTTTATACAATGTCTATGAGTGATTATGATGTAATGTACTCTTTTAAATAAATCAAAGACAAAATTAAAAAAAAATAATACGAAAAGCAAATACAAACTTAAAATGTTTAACGATAAAGAATTCGCTATTGCAGCACACACTAACATTATTTAACACAATCATGTTAAAAATAAACCAGCCCTAGCTCGTGTGTATTTCTCAAATAGAAAAAAAAACATTCTCTGTTGTTCACTAACCTAATATAGTAATTATATTTCTAGACGTAAGAATAAGTTGCAATTGAGGTAGATTAAATTTTTTACAGTCCTATTAACCTAAAAGATTAGAATTATTTACATATTCTATAGTAGAAGCGTGTACAACATTGGATCTTTCTTCATACATTTGTCGCTGTTACTAGACGCCTAACATTGATAAAGATTATAATTACGAAAAATATATTATGAACCATAACGTGTTGCTCGGATTCGATTATAATAATTCCTAATAGCATACGAAAATGGCAATCAGGAGGCCAATGATTTTATAATAAATTCATAAATGCAGATTGGACCTGAAATTGAACTTGCTACAACTATTCTATGTCAACAATTCAACCCCCATATGTACTGATATATTTCACATTCAATATTTAAAAAAATAACGTGTTAAAACAGTGGCAAAAGCAGACAGACTAAACTATAATCTAAATATGTTTTTTTTTTTAAATTACTGTTATATACAAAACTGATATCAAAATATTTCGAATCAACTTATACACAAATACGCATAAATACTCGATATTTAAAAATATTGACTCTATCAAACAATTTCGTAGCTAAAAGGAGAGCAACAAACGATCTTAATAAAAACTTGTATTACCTACATTCTTATACAAAAAGGCTTCTTGGTGTTTCTTAACTTACATATTAATATTATGAAAAAAGTTTCACAGAAATATCTGCCTCCAAAGTTATAGTTTACAAAAGGTTAAGTATAAAATGGCGAAATGACCGCCGCTAAATAACTACTAAAACATATGGAGAAATGTAAGGCACCTAATAAAGCTGTAACCCTTCCTTTCATTTCAATCGTACCACTCGTTTGAATTCCTACTACATTTTTTACAGACTTCTTGACACACTCACCTAGTCTCGAAGTGAAACTTACTAAAAATTACATAATTTGGCTCTCATACTCCTAAAAATATGCTGATACTATTTCTTTAAGTTTCTCTTTTTTTCGTATAATACCAGTTTAAATTCAATATAGACAACATCAAAATAAGTTTCTTTTGTTCACTCGAGCAAAAGAATTATTGCCTTTTTTTGTTACAAGTTTTCGTATGATAGTCCAGAATATAGGAATTTTGGCACATTGTGTTTTATGAAGATAATTTCAAGCTCGACGCACTTCGCTCCGCCGTAGACCCAATCGCTTATTGTCTTATATTCTAAGGAAGCACGCGTGCTTCTGAGGTAAGTTATTACGTGTTGGTGTCGGAGCCCGCAAAACTAAACTGTAAAATAGTATGAATCCGATATTCTCAGTCTCGATGGCATAATGCTAATTCCGATTTATACTAGACAGTAGACCTGATAACGCCATTCACATTTTTTAAACTATATTACCAAACAAGGTATATGCTCTTTGTTGTACTAGCTTCTGTCTAAAAGCAGCACGCTTCTCTAAAACATATCATACAGCCTACTGCTTTTTAGAGCCATAAACCTTTACACAGAACCTGCTCGCCTAAAAACTGTCCTACAAATTTTAAACCAGAGCTAATTCATCAAAGACGCAGACGTAGTGTTTGCCATCTCACAGCTTACAGAGTTGGTCCCATTTATACTCTATAAACGTCATACATAAACGCTATAAATAAACAATTTACAATTCCGAAAGTACATACACGACTAGATAACATATTCATGTAGAATTCGGAAACATTTTGGTATATCTGAGACGAAAGCACAATTCGGTGATCCGCTCCGGGGCACGCACTTATTGTCCAAAACGTTCTCTGCACTAAACCAGAATATATTTTACAGCTTAGACCAAATCTTACCTAGTGAGGTAGCTCGGTATCCATAAGCTAAATGCAGCGAATGCGGTGAAGGCAGGCTAGTGAGGGGGCGGCGGTGGCGGCGGGGGCTTGGGGCTCTGCGCCGTCTGAAAGGCTTGCGTGAAGGCAGGCAACCGCTGCTGCACTCGCCCTTCCTCGCTCGTGAAGGTAGGTTCACGTTCCTCCAGCAGTCCTAGCATTTGACTCGACAGCCCGGAAGGCCCCTCACCCGGGTCCATTAGGATAGACTGAACATTCCCTGTACTGAGCAAATGAACATCCAATGGATCGGGGATCGGCTGTGTCGCCATATATGGCAAGGTGGACGGCGTCTGAGGATATGGCGGTGGGACCATATACACTACTGGGTATTCGAGAATTTTACTGGGTGATGGTGGATTTTCTATTTTTATTTTTATACCTTCTAAAGGCTCCACTTTGATTTCTATATTTGGTATTTCTACAATTATATTTGATGCAGGCACTTCTGTTTCTTGAACTTCTTCCTTAACAGGGACAACCGATTTCCATACAAAATCTGTGCCCTGAATTGGAAAGTCAGTATAAGTCTCCTCAAATGTTGAGGCTTCTGGTGGTGGATCTTTTGAAGTACCTACAGCAGCTGATTTCCAGGATTCATCTGGATGAGCATTTTTAACATGACGAACCAAGTGATCTTTTCTTCCAAATTTTTGTGGGCAAAAAGGACATAAAAAATCTCGTCTACCTGTGTGTACAACATGGTGCCGCCTGACATCTTTTGCTGTAAAAAATCTTCTATCACAATGGTCACAGGTAAACTTTTTATCTGTCTCACTCTTAATTGTGCGACTTCCAGTGTGTACTTTGAGGTGGTTCACTATATCTTGTTTGGTATTAAATACCTCATCGCAGATTTTGCACTGTAAATTACCTTCCTCAGCTGAATGTAAAGCAGCATGTTTCCGATAACTTAACAGAGATGTATAAGATTTCCTACAATCTGGCCTCTCACATGTATAAAGTTTTTTTACAGGATTGTGCACCCTTACATGATTAGTGAGATGGTCTTTACGATTAAAAGTCTTGCCACAAACAGTACAAGCAAAGGCTCTCGCCTCACTGTGTATTAGAGAGTGGCGCACAAGTTTAAATTTTGAATTAAAACGCTTATCACACAAATCACACGAAAAAGGCAGCTCACCTGTGTGAGATAAAACATGTTGGCTGAGCTTACCGGGACTGGAGAAACGCTTGTCGCAGGTGGTGCAGACGTGTGGCTTGCTGCGGTCGCGGCGCGTGCGGCCGGGGGCGGCACCGCTGCCGCTCGGCTGGCTCGGCGCGCCAGAGCCCCCGGCGCCGCCGCCCGTCGTGGTGTTTTTGGGTGGCAGCGTGGGCACTCTACGGGCGAACTTGACAGTGCGAAAGGTATGCTTAATGCTACGACCCGAGCCGCCGCGCGCGACAAACTCCAGCTTAGTCGGGAGCTCCGAGGCAGGTAGCGCTATGAATGTCTTCTGCGAGGAGGCCGCGCGTTGCCCGCCCGCCTCCTCCGAGGACTCGGAGCAGCTCTCCGCGCCTTCTCTTGGGTTCGGTGGCGGACTGGCCATCTCGCGCTCATTTTTAATGCGCTTGCCCTATATCCCTGATGGTTTATCACGCGTCGATGTAGTTTTGGTTCCGCCGTAATGCTGGCTCGTCGCGATGGCAGAAAACATTTCTGTCACATTGACGGTCTGGAAGCCCTTTTTCGTATTCGTGTCACATGGTTCTAGGAGATTTTCTGGAGCTCATTGTACATTACAACTGGTACTCGATTTTCACCGATTTCACTACAATTCCATTCGAATAAAAAAAGTAGAGAGGAGTAGAAAAATTATAAAAAATTGACTTTCTTCAAAGAAATACGTAGCGGTTGACATCGAAATGTCAAAATAATGAAATGAAGCCAAAAGCCATGTCAAAAAAAATCCTCCGAATAGTATGAATCGTCGACGGATCCTTGTTTTGTGGTGCCAATTTTTTTGATTACTAATCCTTAATTTTATAATATAATAAAAAAATATAAAAAAAAAAACAAAATATTATTTAAATGAACAAAAATTATATAATTATTTATTATGATGTTATAACATTACTCAAACAATAACAATTTTTTTTAAAGTAAATATTTTCCTTAGTTATACAAAAATTTAAGGAATATTTGATCAATAATTTTGAATGATATTATTAAATAAGTAAAGATCTATATTGGGAAAGATTTCTTGAAATGAGGGCGCTACACGTATGATCTATTTACATTCAGTCTGAGGTTAAGCAATTTATTATGATATCTCTTTTCTGGTGTTTGCTTCTATATTGTGTTCGCATCTTACCTGTGCATTGTATTGTACCTGGAAGTTAGACCAGCTGAAGGAAGAATTGGAAAGGAGAGGTGCATCCTGTGGTGGTTCTAATTGACTGTTGGATCCAGCACACAACCTAAACTTTTGGTCTGGTCGTAGAAACATAAAATTGGGAGGACCTATTCCCTATATGATTTTCTGAAATTCATCCCATAAGTGGGTAAAATAAAAGATTAAAGATTATATGAAACTTTGTCATTCTTAATGTGAAATACATAGAAAGTGGTATTTATTAATTATAAAATATAAAAATATTTTTTTTTCTATAATTCATACTTTAAAGGCATAAAAGTTGGTAATAAAGCTTACATGCGCAAAGAATTATTTATGATCAGATATACCTGAAACTTGGTGTTAATGCTCTTCAATATGATGTCTCTGGGCAGCAGGCTGTCAATCAGTATTATAATCAACGCTGCCAATTACTCGAAAATCGGGTAATTTTAAGCGATTTTTGACAGCGGGTAATTTTAACGGGTATTTGCATTGAGCGGGATCAAAGCAGGTATTTTAATTTAGCTGATTAATTTGATATTTTAAGTGTTTTTTTATGATTGATTTAATAATTTAAAGTTGTTTAATTGAGAACTGAATACAATGACATCTTTTCCTAACATTAAAACTTTCTTTTATTCTATATAAAATGAATAATATACTTAAAAAAATGATTTTCGGGTATTCTTCTCATGGTTGATGGCTGATAACGGCGAGATAAACCGGGTATTTTGAGGTTTATTGGTCGGGTAAATTAACGACGGTTATCTGGCAGCCCTGATCACAGTGCAAATTTGTAACTGTCAAAGTCATTAGTCAAACATTTTTACTAACCTGATTCTTTAACAGGTTTGATCATTTTACGGAAATAATATATTTTGAATTCATTAATAATATTCCCTCAGAGTAAGTTAACATCGATTATGTCAGATAAACAATATCTGGGAAATTTTTAAATGCCAAAAGTAAATTTTATACTCATGTATTTTTAATTGTATACATCACTTGTTATATTAATAGTTTTTCATTCTATTCCCTCGTAATGGAATTAAATTTTAATTTAAAATTCACAAAAAATATATATAATTGTATGTATTTTTTATGACTACATCTTCTGATTATGTTTAATTTTTATGAATTTGTAAGCTGTCACTACTTTTATGTTTTAATTAATTATTTTATTTCTTTGCGTATATTCTTGGCGTTTGTTTAAAATGTTCAAAGTAAAGTAAAAGTTAACTATATATACCTTTAGTGTGCTGTTGTTATTGTTAATTATTGTTATAGACTTTATATGTGTATTTTTACAAATTTTTATCACATCAAAAATCATTACAGAAATGGCTGATGTTGGTACTGCTCCACCTTCTGCTGCCCCTTCCGGCACCACTGTAGCAGAAGAACAGCGCTCTGGCACTGCCACTGGTTCTGGTAATTATGTAAAATTTGTCAATTTTATGATTATTCATATGGTAATTTAAGTACATAATTTAAATATTCATTTGGTGAGACAAATTGTGCTGCTCATTAGTAGTACATTACTTTTGAAGACAGTAAAGCAAATTCGAACTTCATTTTATTTAAAAAAAATTGTGTTCAATAAATTTATATAATATTGTATATAATATGTTTTTTTTGTAATAACAAACAGGTTCTGAAGAAAAAGTTTATGGAGGATGTGAGGGTCCAGATGCTATGTATGTGAAGTTGGTGTCTTCAGATGGACATGAATTTATAGTTAAGAGGGAACATGCACTCACATCTGGTACAATCAAAGCTATGCTTAGTGGACCCGGACAGTTTGCAGAAAATGAGGCTAATGAAGTTAACTTCAGAGAAATTCCGTAAGTTTTATGATTTAATTTAGGTATTAATGCAAGAGATTGTAATATATAAAATATTTAAAAAGAATAATACATAAATATCATAGTGCAGAGATCGAGTTCATTTTTAAGTCAGGAAAGTAATGTACATAACAATAATTGTTAAATGATAAGTGACAATAAGGTGATTGATGGTTTATAGAACCTAAAAAAGTTAATAATTTATTGACAATATACTTTTTTATTTTCAGATCTCATGTACTACAAAAAGTATGTATGTACTTCACATACAAAGTGCGCTACACTAACTCTTCTACCGAGATCCCAGAGTTCCCCATTGCACCTGAAATAGCTCTAGAACTTTTGATGGCTGCCAATTTCCTTGATTGTTAATTAACTGCAATAAAACAATGGATATCTTCTGTTTTATAGTTTTTCTCAACTGTAATAAAATCTTGTTTTCTCATCAAAGCACATCTACAATTTTAAATACATAGTTTCTTTAGAAATCGTAGTTGGTATACTTAAGTATAAGACAATTTGTAGGACACCATGACAAAAACTTAGCAAAAGAGTTTTGTATTGTCTCATAAATACTGTAATACTTGATGATTATAAATGAACTTGTTATATATTTTGCTTTAAATACTAATACACTATTAGACTAGGGTAAGAATATATTTTAAAATTAATATTTCTCAGAAAAATATTTTTTTTTATTTTTGTATTTACTCTGCTCTCTTAAGTAAAGAGCAACTTTGAACACAGTCATTTTTTATACTAGCAATACCTAAACAAAGTGTAGCGTTTAATGAAAACTTTATATGTAGGTAACTTACAAAAATGTTTTTAAAACAACTTTTATATTACTGCTTACTTTGTATTATTAAATAAAGTAATATTTGTTGATAGTGATAATACACTTTATATGTAAAAAATAGAAAATTAATGCTTCTTTCTCTGCTCTTTAAATGATTGGCTTTGTTTTTTTTAAATAAAGTGATTTGGGAAACAATCTTTTTATTATAATCCCAAAAGATAATTTAAAAATAAAATTAATATTACTATAAAGTATAAACAACAGTTGGGAAACGACTTTAAGGTTGATGGATATAATTGAGGCCGTCATCGCAAAAGTCGCCTAACCCACTGACAGCTGCTTTGGAGAAAATGACTGATAAATATATTTTCATATATTTTAAAACTGATTTATATTATGTCATTTTTGTATTTTAAATATTTTAAAAATTTTGAAATACATTTGAGGGTTAGGCCAAATCGTATGTAACTTTACTCCCGCTAATATGATTCTAAATGCATTAATTTATTATATTATAATACATTAATGCTTACGATCGTATCTCATTCATTCAGACTAAGCCTAGACATCAATGGCAATGCAAGCACAGGGGGGCTTAGGCTACCTTTGCTTTCCAAAAAATTCAAAAAATTTAAATACAAAAATGAGTTTATTAGGGGCATTTTTTATCTATAAGTAAAAATGTACCCAGGTCTATTGTAAATTAAACTTTACTATATTTAGAATACTTTGTAGTACTTAAGTCGAAAAACAAAACAAAATGTGGGTTAGGCTGTTCATGCACTGACGGCCTGAATTGTAATATACCACGAGATGGCACTTTAGTGCTTTACAGTCAAAATCTTTCGCCATGAAAATTCACGCATCAGTAAAAAGAATTGAGATGAGATAGTTCATTAAGGCCTCATTTCCGCCCAGAATAACGAAAAAATTATGTAATACGATTTGATCTTTTCTTTACATATTCTCAAAGCAGACTGTGTTTTTTACAATTACTTAAATACTAGTTGTGAGACGCCAAACTTTGGTCTAACTGGGATTTTCGTTAAAAATGAGACATTTTCAGTAACATTTCAACTTTTATTTTATATATATGTAGATGGTAAGTTTGATCCGACTGATGTAGCCAATGCCTTCCGCAAGCACTTTAAAGTGGAGTCTTCTCTCCCTCTAGAGTCGCAGGTGTTCGATGCTGGGTGTCGCGACGGAGACTTTACTGTCAGATTTTCTGAATGTGAGGTCGCCTCAATTATTAAAGGAATGGTCAGAGGTAAGTCTCCCGGTCACGACGATCTCAGCATCGAGCATCTGAAGTACGCGGGGGTGCATTTGCCCCGAGTTTTAGCTATATTTTTTAATTTATGTATAAGTCATTGTTACTTACCGAATGAATTAATGTATACTCTTGTTGTGCCTATAATAAAGAATAGAACGGGGGATGCCTCCGACTTGTCCAATTATAGGCCTATATCCTTGGCTACGGTTATAGCCAAGGTGATGGACGGTTTGCTTGGCAGAAGATTGGACGAAAATATTAAAATCCATGATTTACAGTTTGGTTTTAAACCCGGTCTGTCCACAGAGAGTGCCATTTTCTGTCTCAAGCAGACTGTGCAGTACTACACGGCTCGAAAAACCCCAATCTATGCTTGCTTTTTGGACTTGTCGAAGGCATTCGATTTGGTATCGTACAATTTGTTGTGGAAAAAGCTACATTGTGAAACCAGTTTACCTCCTGATGTCATATCAATATTTAAATATTGGTATGACAACCAGAGGAATAGCGTCAAATGGGCTGGCTCCCGGTCGGATGAGTACGGGTTGGAATGTGGAATGAGGCAAGGGGGGTTGACCTCACCCAAGCTTTTTAACGTGTACATTAATAAACTGATCGAGGAGCTTAGTAGCACCTACATAGGATGCCATGTAGGCGGGACGTGCATCAATAACATCAGCTACGCAGACGATATGGTGCTGCTGAGCCCTTCGATCGGTGCTTTGACTAAGTTGCTTCACATGTGTGAAGAGTACGCAGTGGCTCATGGGCTCAGATATAACGCGTTAAAAAGCGAGTTAATGGTTTTTCAGGCGGGTGACACAAGGAGACAACGGAGAGTAACTTGTGTTTCTCTAGGAGGCTCTGAGTTGAAAAGAGTTGACCGGTTCAAATATCTGGGTCACTGGGTCACTGAGAGCTTGTCAGACACGGTAGACATTGAAAGAGAGCGTAGGGCGCTGTCTGTTCGCTGTAATATGTTGATCCACAGATTTGCGCGCTGTAGTAAACAAGTCAAACTAACACTTTTCAAAGCCTACTGTCAATCGTTCTACACGTGCGGTCTGTGGGTCGATTTCACGCAGCGAGCATACAGCGCTCTACGTGTCCAATACAACAACGCGTTCAGGATGTTGTTCGGTCTGCCGCGCTTCTGTAGCGCGTCGTCAATGTTTGCCAAGGCGCGTACCGACTGCTTTCACGCGATCATAAGAAAAAGGTGCGCTTCGCTGTGGGCGCGAGTAAGCGGGGCATCGAACACCATCCTGAGTGCCTTGGCCGACCGGTGGGACTCCCCGTTGTTTTGTCGCTGGGTACAGCTTCATGCTCCCGTTGCTAACTATAATCTTTAGCACAGGAGTCTCCTCGGAAGCATTATTTTTATTTGTTTAGTAGGTATATTATATATTACACAATAAGTTTTACTAACATAGTTGTAAGTTTTTAAATGTAACTAACAAGTGGACTGAGTCTTAAATAAAAATATTATTATTATTATTATTATTATATAAAGCGCAGGATAGACGCATTGTAATTTTTAAATACATTGTGTAGTTCCATAAAATTAAAATAAAAGAAAGTGCTTCTTATATTGCACAACATGGGCAGTGTAGGTAATATGAGGTAGGTAGGCTTATAGTATTCAAAGATGGCGCTGTTTACTTCTTAAGGGTTGTTTAGCCAGGTGAAAAACTGTTAGTCACTGGTATTTGCTTAATTATATTTTGCAGGATTATTACAAAAAAACTGCAGCAGTTTTTAGATCAATGACAATGAAAATGAATGGGGCATCTTAACTAGTATAGTAAAGGCTCATTTGTAAATACTATTAAAGTTTTATCGAATAAAAGAACCGTTTAAATTAGTGTCTATAGATGGCGTTATATGTATAGATTATAATAATTAATTTGTAAATATAATATACAAAATTAATAAAACAATAAATAAACGTAATCTAGTTTAGAAAAAATACTCTCATTAAATGCAAATGATATAACGTTTTCTTTTAAATAAAATTTGCGCTTTTTCAGTGTTGATTAAAAATCAAGGTAATTAGTTCGTACTTTGTGTACATAGATGGCGTTGCTTACATTATATTACTTGTTTACGGTAATAACTACACTGCCATGACGTGCAGGAACAAAGAAAAACAACTTCAAATAATTATCAATAGATGATATTTTAATTTATATAGATTGATTTGTTATTGAGTTTGTGTAAAGTAAAAAAATAATAATTAAATAATAGATACGGAGAAGGTTACGTAAGAAATTGCGTAATTAATTATTATAACCACGACAATATCCACTTATTGAAAAATTTGCAGTCACGTTAATTTATTGGGTATATTTACGGTTTGTAGAGTATATTCACAGATATAGCGCCTATCTGTCTGTACATTTTATGAGCAGTTTCACGCTTAAAAACTGTTATTCACTGAAGTTGGTTATATGTTTAGGATTAATATTGCAATTTCTATAATATTTTATTTTATATATATTTATAAGAAATAATTCGTCAGTTTGCGTAATTACATAGTACTATTTCAGCAAACAATAATAGTCCAAATTAGCGCCATCTAATTTATTTGTATGAGATATCTGTCTTAATATTTTGGCATCAGTGGTTTTATTAAATCCGAAATAAATTGTGATATTTTTTCATATTTTAATCATAATAAAATAAATTCAATATTTTGCGGATCAAGATCATGTATAGTTTATTTAAGCATTTTTGCTAATATGCATTAAATTTAAAAAAAAATATATTTATGTTTAAAAGCTCAAAATAAAATAAATTCAAAAAAAATATATTTATGTTTAAAAGCTCAAAATAAAATAAATTAAATTCTAAAAATTAAAAAAATCTAAAAGTTAGCTTAGTTAGAAAAAAGTATAATTAAACGAAGCGAGCGAAGTCGCGGGGAAAAGCTAGTACATTATAAGGGTATGAAATATAATGAAACACAAGTTGACCTGTCCTTTATTCAGTTTAATGAGTAAACAAAATCCAGTCCACGTCATATACAATCCGTAAAGCGGCCGGTCCCACCCGAGCGAAGGCGGAGGGGCCCAAGCACTTTACAAACCAAGAACGATTCATCAATAAATAAATTCTGATACAATTGTACAACTAACCGAACAAACGCATCTACTGCTACACCGTCTGAGATCTACGCTTATTTAATAACTTTGGATAAAAATTAAAATAATTATGGACAATCGATTCGTTTTATACATTTTTACAAAGAATAACTTCACTGTTCAGTGGAATACTGAGAACGAAACTAAATGCAGAGTTGTGACGTTGCTCCTAACTAAACTAAAATATACATTTAATACAGTAAGGTTACAAATAATACTTTAGAAACATCAAACTATTATATGACGTTCAATATTTATTGTTTTGTGGCAGTTTTGATTATTTCATAACATACGTCTTAATTCGCACATTTTTTTTAGATACGATTTGATTCGATTATATTTATGTATTGATAACTGAATAATCGATTACAATCTCGCATCGAATCGTAAATAAGTGCAAGTTAAGACGATATGTACAACTTCTGGACTGCGTTTAGACTAAAAAAAACATTCACCAGAACATTTAATAGAAAAAATGAAATTGTATTTTTTTTTTACTATTGTAAAGATCGCAATCCAAAAGCAGTTTTTAATACACGAACACAGTATATGCCAAAAATATAAAATTTTATATGAAAAAAAGCATACCATAAATTACTTGTACACAGTGGAATGCGTTACGCTTTAGTGAAAAAAAAACCCTTAAAAGTACACAAAATTAGGTCGTTTATTAGCAATAATATCACAAATCAATATTATCCATCGGTTATTCCAGTCTGAATGTGTGTAAAATAACATGCGACGATGAAGAATAACATGACTGAGATTTCGAGATATACATATTTAGAGATAACATATAATTTTCTATGAACGTATAGTATAGATATGTAGGATAAGGGTGTGCGATTATTAATGATTAATATTAATATAAATCATTCGATTACATAAATATCTAGTATAATAAAGCTAAAATATAATCGATTATTATTAACGATTTTTAATTAAAGAAACAATTATAATATACAGATTAGAAGGAATTGTTGTACCATTAATAATCGCGCACGAGTGACGAGTGACGCACATCGATTCACAGAAGCAACACGATAATATATGAAGCGAAACAATGCCGATGATATGTTAACATTTATATGTATGTACCAATCAAATGTGACTAATTTTGATCTGAGACAGCTTGAAGTAGTGTGATACAGAAAAAAAGTATCAATAATACAATTTTCATATGTTTGTTTTTGAAGATATTAAGATAATAAAATTCACTAAACTTTCACAAAATAATACTCCATTCTTGTTCTTAATGAACTACTCCAAGCGTCTCATTTAGCTTCTGCTTTTATGTAAACATGACTAAATAATAAAAAAATCTCGACATTACGTTTTGCTACACATTTAAAGCTTCACATTTCACCAAATAATATTACAATTAATATGAATATTTTACAATAACTCAATCTGCCTCTGGAACTAAGAGCATTATGACAAAAAAAATACAAAATTCAAATATACATATACCTACTATCTTCACAAAAAAGATATTTTCCACTAAAACAAATCATCCGACTCGTCGCCCAACTGGTTGAGAGATTTATTCAGTGGGACCCAAGCCATTAGAATACAAAGTACCAAAGGCAAACTAAATTAATTTAAAATATCCGTAATAAAAGTAAAAAAGAACGATACACGAATTTACATAAAAACAATAGCTAATTTCCAATAAGTGATAAACTCCGAAAGTCCAATAAATAAACAGACACACATACAATGCGAATTCGTTTACCCGGAACCACATATTTAAATAAAAAAATGCTTTTATGTATATTACCTAAGTATATTTACGTTAGAAATGGCAACACTGGCTCCAATCAGTAGTGATATTCTGTAAAAACTTTTATGTAACACGACAGCTGAATCCACGCTTAAACTGCATACAACTGTATGAAATTTTATTGCGGATTCAGCTATCGAGTTACATAAAAGTTCTTACAGAATAGCACTAGTGGACGTAATTTTGTAAAAGCAAATATGTGGGACCGAGAACATTCGCTTACATTTGAGCAATCGATAGATTGTCTTTATGAATCTATAAAATCTACATCGCTTCCAAAACAAACCCATTTTTCGTGTAAGTACTATTTATTTGTGGGCGATTAAGAATTATGCGATTGAGTATACTTGGAAATGTGAATGTGAATTATTACGATGGTAATATTCTGATGACAACAATCTCGAATTTGCTCAATCAAGATATAACTTCTTATTAAAAACGACTAGTAATAAATGTAGGGATTTAAATTATATTAATAATTATTACCACAGATCATTGAATAAAAAAACAATCATTCATAAAATCTTAATCAAACAAAAGAAAATAATTTTATAATACACCAACGATATATCCAGGTTACACAACTTAATCAGATACGAGTATCACTGAACACAAGCGTTGAATCGATAATAATGATTAATTAAAATTAAATAATTCACAATCGCCCACAAAACCTAACATCATAGCCACAGTTAAGCTCAAGACTACAAGCGAACTAAACCCTAACCTTGATCGGAGTCCACCAACTTCTTGCTGACCGAATAAATCGGCGGGGTATCGACTTTAGTTATCGCTTGCACTCGACTTTTGACCGATTCGATTGGAATATCGATTTTGGAATCGTCACAGGACTGCGAGTGTTGGAAGGGCACCCCCTCATTCCCATATATGTGTTGATCTCTTACGTTTCCATATAAATTATAATTGTGTATGAGAGTCGAGACGCGGTTAGAGGTGACGGGAAGACTGTTATGTTCTTTCGGCGTGTGGTCGGGTAAATGGCCGATCGTGGTCACTGGTTGGTTGATTTTGAAATCCGGTTTCGGTTCGGTTTCCACTGACGTTTGGGTTGAGAGTTGGGGGGTGGGTTGGGGGGTTGGTTGTGCAGTGGACGGGGGTTGGTTGGTGGGTGTCGGGGGTTCTATGTCGCAGAGGATGGCACGCCAGTCGATGTGGGGATGTCTCTCGCGGATGCAGTCGACGACGTCAAGTAGATTCTTAGCGTCCATAGCGAGTACGTGTGCCGCTGCGAGCATGCTCCTGCAATTGTGATTTAAATATTTTAAAATATATGAAATATATGATGGTCTATAATTGAACTATAATTCTATTTAAAATACAAAGTTTCATATTACTTGATGAATGATGAACATTAAATTAATTTAAACAATGAAATACTATTATATTCTTTAAAAATTTCATTCAAACCTGTTGAGTGACGATTTTTGAGATATTCTGAACTGCATTCACAGATTTTGGAAAAAAATGTAGAATTAGCCAAAAAAAATCTAAAATACCAAAAAAATTTTTTTATATCAATAAAGTTATGAATGCTCTATTAGGAACGTTTTCCTGTCTCTATAGCAATTAAGGTGCCTGCCCTTACTGTCCCGTCTCAAAAATACACCCTGTATATTCATATGCGATTTATGTGTGTAAGACACCTTTACGTTGTTTCGACTGGACGGATTTGGATGGATTTTATACGTAGTAAGTCGTTTGTTATAGTCGCTAAAGACCGCGCAAAGTGAAGGAGGCTAAGTAGGAAGGCAATATCTAGCAATAGCCGGTATTAATAAACGCCAGGCAGAAGAAGAAGAAAGTATCTTGTAATAAAAGCAATGATCAGCGTAGAAACTCACTTGGTGTAGTCGTGCTGCAGCGTGGTGCGGCAGTAGTGCGCGGCGAGCCGCAGCGCCTCCACCAGCGCCGCCATGTCCTTGCTCAGCACCTGGTGTGCCATCTCCACCTCACTGTACATAATGTTAAATCAAATGATTTATTTTTTCCATTACATTTTGATGTCTTTTATAATATTTATTTTTAGTATAGAAATACGCCTAAAAAGGCTGTGCATGTTCGGACAGCAATCAAACCGGCTGCATTCATCACCATTAATTAGTATCAATTATCAAGTATAGCATACAATTCAATAAATAAATATATAATTAAAGTACTAGGCGGACATGGTTATAGAGGAGGTGTCTCACACTTGTACAGTGGCACAGTGGTACTCACCGCTGCGCAGCGGGCGGGTAGGCGCCCACGAGGCGGTCGACGGTGGCGCACAGGTGGCGCAGCGCGGCGCCCACGGCGCGCACAGCGGCCAGCAGCGCGGCCGGCTGCGCGGTCGGCGCCGTGGCCGCGCCCGCCAGCCGCATCACGCACCGCACCACCTCCGTGGTCGCCGCGTACACCGGCTCCTGCTTGCTCTGCGTCTGGGAACACCACCGGGATACTTTTGTAACAGGCCTCGGAATTAAAAAAAAAACACTACATATTATAGACTAGCTGTGCCCTGCGGTTTCACCCGCGTTAAATTTGTTTCATTATAAACATCGGTTTTACAATAATATATGGAAGTTTGCCCGATTTGTTGGCATTTATGTATGATTCCTGCTCCGCTCCCTTGGGTAGTAGCATGATGATATATAGCCTTCCTCAATAAACGGGCTATCTAATGCTAAAAGATTTTTTCAAATCGGATTAGTAGTCCCTGAGATTAGCGTTCAAACAAACAAACAAAAAAACTCTGCTTCTTTATAATATTAGTACAGGTTGTAGTCCCTCGCTGCACTGAGATTATGTTTATTCGGGTAATCTCAGAAACCACTATCGGAATTTTGATGCGGTTTTCAACAAGAGAAAGAGGAATTATCTAGAAATATTATAGGCTATAATTTATGAAGAAATTATAAAAATAACCTAAATTATTTCGTAAATAAAAATTAAGTGAAATTATAGAACCGAAAAATGAATATAAATATTTTAAAATATATTTTTGTCTTACTTTATTTTCACTGGGCGTTCTGCTCTCTTTGGGTTTCACAGTATTCGCTGGACTCGTCTCTGAGGAACTTGCAGCTGTAAAATATAATATTTAAAGTTCTTACAATAATTCTTTACTCTTTGGTAGTTTTAGTTTTGGTGGTATTAAAATAAAAAAAAAACCTGTGTGTGTAAAAACTGAAGTTATACTTCTTAAAATAGGTACAGTTTTCATCCCGTATGTCACAACTCTCTGTTTGTAAAAGGAATGTAGCTAACTTCATCATGTCGCTTTCAGCTAACTTCATCATGTCGCTTTTTGGTTGTCGGTGTGCGCGTAGTAAAAATTTTACTCTCATATTTTTTCCAAACGTGCCAAAAGAAGTATAAGTTCAAAAAGAATTATGAAAATCGTCTAACAATTGATGAATATATCTCATAATACATACAGTCGAATTGAGTACTCCTCTTTTTTGAAATTGGATAAAATAGAGTAATCAACACCTTCAAAGTCGAGTAAAGCCGTTCCACTTACCCGAATGCGTTTGACTAGTAGACTTGACCTCGGGCGCGAACGCCGGGTCCGCCCTCTCGGCCTCGGGCTCCGCCGCCGGCGCCACTTGCACGTTGGACATACGCTTCTGTAAATACATCCATACTAATATTATAAATCTGAAAGTGTGTTTGTTTGTCCTTCTTTCACGTCGAAACGGAGTGACGGATTGGCATATTTTTTTTTGTGTGGAGCTAGTGGGAGGGCTGCAGAGTGATACACGATACTTTTTACCGCGGGATATTATCTAATTCCCACGGGAAAACACGTTATAATACAATCTAAAAAAATATGTTTGATTAGAATTACTTGAAATTAATGCTCTTCTATAAAATTAAATAAATACAGTGTTTTAGCATTTTTCGATTTTCGAAATTCGTCCTATAAGAGGGTAAAATAGAGGATGAAAGTTTGTATGAAACTACCTTTTTAGAAATTTTGTAGTTTTAGCGCGTGCGAAGCCGCGGGTTTTGCTAGTTTTATAATATATTATAGTTATTATTCACTTTTTCCCCGGGCCTCACTCGCGGTTTAGATACGTCGATATAAAATAGCTTAGGTATGTAATACATTAAGGTTTTAAATACATCAAAAAATAGCTTGCATAATACTTTCTTAGATTTACGCGAATATTTGACATTTTAAATAAAACTGAGAGAGAGAGAGACTGACCTCAGTCTCTCCCGTGACCATGGATGCTGTAAAGCATTCGAAACGTCGGGAAACAAAAATGCAAATAAATCCGCGACAAAATCCGAAAAGATAGTTTTATTTAAAAATAGCTTGCGTTAGTCCATGATGATGATATTTATTTTTAATATAACTCATATTTGCAACAAACAGACTCATTAACAATCGTAATGATTATAATAATTATATATTACTTTTACTTGATATAGTTATAGTCACTTCAATATAATATGTTTTATTTTATCTCAATATATGTTGTTTTAAATAAAACTATCTATTGGGATTTTTTCGCGGATTTCCTTTTATTTTTGGTTCCCGACATTTTGAATGTTTTACACTTTACAGCAATCACAGCCACGGGAGAGACTAGAGCTTAGGACGTTCCAAGGGTCATTGTATAGTTGTACCAGACAGTACTTACCCTTTCGTAGTTGAATGCGTAAGCGATCCTGCGACGCCCCATTAAGACGGGGGAAGGCTTTGTTGGGTTTTAGTGGGTAGTACTGGCTTTGCCGGTGAGTCCCACACCTCGTGCGTAAATGCATTTCCCAACGTTAAAAAAAAAAGACAGTACTTACCCACAAAATTATAAAAGAATTGCAAAAAAATTGCATTCACGTATCCATTATAAAACTAATTACTAAAAAATGACGAAAAACTTTTTTTTTTGAAGTCGGTCCAAAGCAAACGTACCAGATTATCCTCCTGCATCTGCAGCCAGCGGCGGTCCTCCTCGCTCTGGTGCTGTTGCCGCGCCAGCTCCGCGAGCAGCCGCCTCTCCACCGCTTGCTCTGTGTCGAACTCTGGACTCTAATGTATATCGTATAAGAGTTAATATCGCTTGATTGTTAATTGTGATTCACTTATAATAATTATTCATTCATCGTTACTCTCTTATAATATTGTTTGAAATATTGATTTCATTCCTAATTGGTATATTATTAGTGTCATATTGAATCTTAATATTTGTCCATTTATATGTATTATATATGAAAATAATTTGGCCAGCATTAATTTATAAAGCCAAGTTCCATTCAAAGATAACTTTGCTAAAATTTTAATTATATTCACATAGGGCATTTATTCTAATAAACCAACTGTGGTTAGTACTTCTCAGTCACTTTTCAGTTTTCCTTATAAAATTAACAATGCATTAATAAAATTTGTAAATGAATAATTTATAATGTATAAATAAAAAAAAAACGCTTGTTAAAAATGTATAAACCACCCTCATAATAAATGATTTTTACAAAATAATATTTGTTACATTAATATAGACCTCAAAATATTTTACACTTTGTATAATATTTATATTTATACACCTAAAAAGTTATGTTAATACGAACATAGTCAAGTACCCAATTTGTTAATACCGAAACAAACTATCACCAATATTTTGACAGAAAGTTACCAACCACAAAGTTAGTTATTAGAGTGAAATAAAAAAATCCTTTGGAATGCGAAATCACATTTGAAATACATTGCTATATATCTTTGTGTGAAAGAGAGCAAATCAGTGCAAGTTATTTCAAAATAAGAAATGGCCAAATAAAAAATCTGCTACTACTGCATTCTGTATATATAGATCATATAATTCTACGTAATACGAAAAAATTATAAAAGCAAATACAAAAATTCAGCAACTTGCATAAATAATGCGCAAATACAGAAATGTACTTAAAAATAATTTCATATGTGATTTCAAAAAAAAAAATTATAGTATAAATTGAAAACAAATTCTACCGCATCACCCAACGTACACACATACAATCTGGAAAATGAAAAAAAAACCAGCCTTAGATACCAAACAGGGGAATATCAAATACAGGATACAGGATGGACGGGATCGAGGATATGTACATCAGGAGACCATCGGTCGCCGTGTCCCGCGAGAGTCCGTCCGAGTTCGTCGCTCGCACGGAGTTATATACAAAGAGACTGTAAAACCAATAGTACCGATACTGTGCATGCGCAGCAAACAAAAAAAATTCGAAACTACGACAATAAAACCGAATGCAAAAAAAAAAGAAATTTGGAACAATCGCCAATCATGCTTCCCAGACGAGTCACCTGTGTGTGTGCGGCGCGGGCCCTGCTCAGGCCGGCCCGCTGCGCGGCGATCGCGACGCAACTTTTCACATGATCACCTCCAAAGTCGTATATCTCCTCGACGAGGGGGGGATCGGGCTGGTGGCGGATTTTGTTCATGACGCTCGCGGCCAGCTGCGCGTTGAGCGCGCCCTGCACCGAGAACTGGCCTATGTCGCGGTCGCGGCGCGAGCGCGGCGGCGACGCGGGCTGCGGGGGGGGCGCGCGCGTGCGCTCGAGCGAGCCCACGCGCGCGGCGCCGCGCTCGGGCACGCGCGGGCTGCGCTCTAGCGAGCGCACGCGGCTGGGGTAGGGCTCGGGCTGTTTGTCGTCGGCCGACGATGTGTGTGCGTTGGGCGGCGCGGGGGGCGAGTGTGGGGCGTGGGGAGCGCACAGGTTGTCGCACGAGTCGCGCGCGGCCACGTGCCCCGCGAGCGTGGCCGGGGGGGTCTCGACGAGGGGGTCGAGGCGGTGCAGCTGCGTGACGGGAATGGGGCGGGTGTGGAGCGGGGGGTCGGCGGGGACGGGCGGGGGGTCAGCGCGGGGCGCGGGGTCGAAGTCGACGGCGAGAGTGTTGAATACCGAGGCGGGCGTGGTGTAGGCATGCGGGTCGGCGCGCGGATTGTCGCGCAGCAGCTGCGCGAGCACCTGCGGGTTCTGCGCCACGATGTACGTCTGCGGGCCGCCGCCTTCCGTCGCTGTTGTACAAGAGTTTAAATTATCATCTACCATTTTATTTTGAATTTCATTACGTACTCATAATTATAATCAGTGTTGTTACATTCACCAATAATTGGGTAAAAGTAACTAAAAACAAAGCGTCTAGACAGGACAAAGTGCGGAGCGTGAGCGATTGTTATATGAATTTTTACAACAGTCGGGAAACTGCTTCAGGGTTCGCGGGTATATTATAACTTGCCATGAAATGGCACTACATCGCTTTTACCTCGAAACCATTCCTCTATTAAAATTAATATTTTTTGATAACCCTTGCATTAAATGGAATTTCAGTTAAGATTACATACAGCAGAATGTATAGATTTTAGTATTGTACTATATTTCTTTTTAATTTTATATCTTAGATCTTATATCTTAGACAAGACAAACAAGTATATACATTTTAAATAAAACCATCTTTTCGAATTATTTCGCGGATTTATTTTGATTTTGGTTACCCAACGTTTATAATGCTTTACAACCAACTTCGATCCGAAATAATCCGAAAAGATAGTTTTATTTAAAATGTCAAATATTCGCGTAAATCTAAGAAAGTATTAGGCACGTTTTAATTTTTTTGAGCAGAACCCTAATTCTTTTAAAAAAATAAAAGTAGCCTATGTTACGCCCTATAACATCAGCTATCTTCCAGTGAAAGTTCCGTGAAATCAGTCAAGCCGTTTCAGAGATTACCCGGAACAAACAGACAGACGACATTTTTAAAATTTGTGTTTTTCTTAAGCACCGTATATAATTTCATATGCATTTAATATAACGCTGTTATTTTAACATTACAAACGGACACTTCAATTTTATTTATCTGTATAGATAGATGTGGTGAGAGGTGTGCGTACCGCCGGTGAGGTTGGTGGCGGGGCGCTCGGGCTTGGGCGGCGGGTCGTCGCCCCACGACGCGGCCGCCACGCGCCGGTTCTCGCGCCGCATCGTGTCCCACGCCGTGTTGCGCTCCTCCTGCAGAATCTCACTGGAAATTCATATAATAATGGGTATTTGAGATCGTCTATACACATAATAAAATCTTATTGAAATAGTCATTATTATCGATGGTTATCCGGGTCAACACATAGGATACTGCGGGAAAATATTCCATGTCTGAGAAACCTATATTAAATGTTAAAACGTAAGTAGGGACGAACCCGAACAAAGCGGGTGAGTCGCTAGTTGATTATGAATTATTACAATTTAAGTTTTTAAACATTATTTTAACATCATTTTTCATAATAGGACTATACTGATAAGCTCTACAAAACAGAACAAGTGCTCACATCGGGGTCTCCTTGACATGGTGTCCAGTGAATTTTTAGTAAATTATTTTAACATATTTTTTTCGTAATTGGACTATTCTATTAAGAAAGAGAATATTAATAGAACAAGCGCTCACAACAGGGTCTCCTTGAGGTGGTGCGCGGTGGGGCGGTGCGAGGGCTCGTAGGCCCAGCAGCGCGACATGACGGAGTAGAGGCGCGGCGGGCAGCGCGGCGGCAGCGCCAGCCGCTCGCCGTTCTCCAGCTTGCCGATCACGTCGTTGTTCTTCACGCCGCTAAACGGCTTCACGCCCAGCATCAGTATCTCCCACATGCATACACCTGGAACGTCACAAAACCATTATATTGTAGTGTATGCATAAATGTATGTATAACAGTTCGATTAGATCATCATCAAGGCAGTATTAAATCTACAGTCAAGATCACTAGACGTGTTATTTATTCCCCGAACCTCCCAACCTTACAATTACTAACGGCTCACCCTCGTTCGTCCCTAAGTACGTTTTAACGGTTAGTGTGGAATAGATAATAAAGAATACAGGGTGGATTTTTGACAGGTACCTTAACTGTTATAGTTACAGGAAAACGTTTTTAGGAGATCATCCATAACTTTTTGAGATATACTGAACTGCATTCACAGATTTTGGGAAAAATGTACAGTTAGCGAAAAAATGGTAAAATACCAAAAACATTTTTATCTCAATTGATCCTATTTCATCTAAGGAACAAAATACTCTATGGGAACATTTAAGGTTTGAGTACTAGAAATGACCGAAATCGCCATAAACTTTTCCCATACATTTGGTACGCAAAAACGATTAATGAACTCGAAATATTCTTTGTTGCCAAACGGTCCTATTTCTTAATGTGAGGCCATGAACGAATTAAAGACTGGACCTGACATAAAATACAAATGTATGAAAACTAGTTCAACCAAGTGACGCATAACGCACACAAAGATTTTATAACATTATTGTATACACTGATACACAATACAATATTTCTAGTGCTTGAACGTAATCGATAAAATACATATATCGATGAACCAATGAATGACATTTTAGACATTGGTTAGCATAGTCATCATATTTTACATCTTTTAATTTATTCTTCTTCTTTTAATTTTAATGAATTAAAATAAATGAATTAAAGAGGCAATAATAATGTGTCAAATAATAATTATTTTTTAATTTGATTTATATAAATACGATGGCATTGATGGCAACATTCTGTTGGCCTATAATAATGTTAATGAACAAATGAATATCGGGTATATATTCCATTAATATATAATAAATATTATTTTGCAAAGATTAAAAAAATATTAAGCTAATTTAATTAAATAAAGTGATTTCGTTGATTCTGTTATTGAACTATTTTAATTGGCAATTGATTGTCTCGGGTAGTTATAAAAATGTGACACTGTCCTAATATTGCTCAGTTCTTAACAAACATTTGTGAAATTAGGAAAAAGAAAAAGTGATTGCAAATTAAAGTGAGTGTTGGATCGTGAAAGTAAAATAATTAGTGCAAGTGGTAAAGTGTTTTATTACAAATCGCCAACCCAGAAGTTTAGTGCTAAAACATTATTGTTTGATTTTGTGTAATTTATGTATAGAAATAAAATTATCTTTATTATTATTACAATGGAATAATATTCCAAAGTATATAAATGTGGAATAAAATAAAATAAAAAATTAAGTACACATACTATTTATAATTTTTGCATTTATATTTTTATTTGATTTAGAAAATATTTTTATAAATTTATTGTCATCAGATTGTAGGATACTGTGGTAAAAGTATTTTATGTTATTGTACTGTACAAATAACACAATTCGTTTAGTTATTTCGTCAAATATCGATATATTTTTCGACATTGTCAAGCACTAGTCGATGTCAAATGGACTCACTCGACAGTTTAGTCATTTGTTCTGAATGGTATAATCCAGCTATTTTATGATGGTTGTCAGATGTCAACAATACATAGAAATATCGAGTATATTTAACATAGTTGGATAATATGACATTTTATTTTACATTTAATTAAATTGTGTGATAAATAACAATAAATGTAATAAAATAATGTATTCACAAGTGAAAAGAAATACTGCTGCTTCCGCCGTTTTAGTTAGTTATAGTTTTTACATAATTTAACAGAACATTTAGTCATTTTTGGGAGATGTTTTGTTGACAAATAAGTGCTTGAGACCGACGCAAAAAACAAACGACCAAGCCTAAAATCTCCTGGTTATTGAGAAGACCGATAAAGGTACGTCCGCATATATGTCTGGTCCAGTGGTTAATTCGTTCATGTGTGAGGCCAAATGGAGTTTATTACAAAAACTACGCTAAGTCACAAAATCGGGTTTACACGCAGGCATTTTATGCAGCGGGCGTAAAATATTTTTTCAGTTTAGCATTTAGTAAAAATTTTAAAATTGTTCTGTTTCAACTTTAACTTCATTCTAAAACAACAGTGATATTATAAGTATTTAATGTAATAACTGATACTCACCAAACATCCACACATCGGACGCTGAAGTGAATCGCCTAAAGTTAATAGACTCTGGCGCCATCCACTTAATGGGTAATTTGCCTCTCGACGCTTTGTAATACGATTTATCTTCCACCATCTTCGATAGACCGAAATCCGCCAACTGCACAAATAATACAAAAAATGTTATAGCAAAAAGTATTTATTATACAAATAAAAAAAATTCCACATTTATGCTTTGATAAAATTTTCATAACTAAATTAATAATTTTTCACTGTTCACATACTCGTGGGTCATGGTGTAATATTCAAGAGGTCGCAGGTTCGACTCAATAATGTATGTGAAATAAACACTCTTGTGCATATATAATATACTAGCGACTCACCCTCCGCTCGAGTTCGTCCCTAGGTACATGTTGATGATTAGTACAGAATAGATAGTTAATTATATCCCTTAATTGAGAAATGATTGATTCCCCATACAAGCTTCCACCCTTTATTTTCACCTCCTTAAAGGATGATCTGGGATAAAAACTATCCTATGTCCTTCCCAGTGTCTGAAACTGTCTTCATAACAAATTTCATCTAAATCGGTTCAGAGGATTATGCGTGAAAAGGTAACATACATACAGACAGACAGAGTTACTTACTCATTTTCACTAAAAATTATTCTAAATGAAATACTACTAAATATGTCACCTTAACACAAGTAGGAGTAGACACGAGCACGTTTCTCGCGGCTATATCTCTGTGCACAAACTTCTTGCTCTCGAGGTAACTGAGAGCCGTCGACAGCTGGTAGATGTACAGAACTAGCGTACACGTTTCTAATCTGTAAGTAAAATAATAATTATTACAACGTAACGAAGTACGTAACTAATAGTAAGAAAATATAAACAGTTACTAAGTAATTTAGCTGCGTATGCATGTATGATAAGCATGGGGTCTCATGACGAACGAAGAAAAATTATTTAAAAAAAATGTCAATGGATGACGTTACATGTGTTAGTGAAGTTGTATTGAATTAAAAAAAAAGATCCCGAAAAGGCATATCATTGTTTTAAAAAATATTCTAAGTAAAGGGAAAAGAAATAATGCGCCAGTAAATCAAATTTGCTTAATTTTACTGATTATTGAAATATCAGCAATCAGGTGATGGGTTTGTAGTGTGTATTCACAGATGGTGCTTTTACTTTTTATAAATTGTGTATCACGATTAAAAATAGTTAAAATTACAGATTCCTTTTTGTTTGAATGCAGAATGAATTTGACAATATTTACTATTTATCACTTTGCACATATTTATAAAAAAAAACAGTTTAACTATTTGCGAATTAACGACATCTATTATCTATTCAAGCAAACAAAAATAGCATGATTTAGCGCTGTCCAATTTCTTTGTATGGGATGAGGCATCTGTACTAGTACAGTATTATATGATGGTGGTATAAGTGATTATATGTAGGTGAGCGTGTGTAAATGTATTATTTTGTGTCAGTGCGTGTTTGTCTATGAGTGTAGTTATGCATGAGTGGGTGTGTGTATGATATATTTGTGTGCGTGTGCGTATGTGTGTGTATGTGTGTGTGTGTACGTGACCTGTGCGCGTTCTGCTGCAGGTATGCGCGCATCTCGCCGAGCGTGGCGAGCTCCATCACGATCCAGATGGGCGGCGCGCTGCACACGCCCACCAGCCCGATGATGTGCGGGTGGGAGAACTGCTGCATTATGTCTGTACACACAAACATATTAACATATATATTATGTTTAAATATTATCATTCATCACGAACTTGGGCAATAGAATCGAAAATTAAAGACGATAATGACAGCTTAGGTTTGATATTATTTAATAAAAACTTTACCATACTCGCAACTACCCAACAATATGATAATTAATAACATACTTACTCAAGTTATAAATTAAATATTTTCCATAAGTTATATATAGTATACTTTGTCTAAACTCTAGATCCTCCAATCTGAGACTGCAACTGACTGACTAAATAGTGCATTTCAAAAAAATGATTTTGCATAGATTTCAAAACAAGATTTGGCGTATTCTTTGTGATTGCGACCGATTTATTGGTTATCCAATAAAAGGCGGCCATAGTTTAAAACTTTAAAATTTAAATGTACTCACAAGCTTCTTCCAGAAACTTCTCAGCCGTGTCCAGGTCGGCGTCCAGCTTACAGGTCTTGACGGCGACGTCGAGCCAGTCGCCGCCCTGCTTGCGCGTGCTCTCCAGCTGCTTGCGCAGCGACGGGTGGTTTGCTGACGAGATGCGACATTTGCCTGGAAACAAGTGGCGATGGGTGAAATTTTAGTAGATTTCATATCATTTGTATTGGATTCTTGATTTATTTGTTATGGTTTTATGTTACAGTAGTTATTATTACATGTAGCCTATGTGTTACTCCAGTCATGGTCACATGGTAAAAACGTACATACTTACAAAATTTCGCATTTATAATAATAGTCTGATTTGTAGACTCCATATTTGTTGTTCTTTGAAAACTTAAAATATAATATGCTTCAAGATCATCTCTGGGTAAGGCGTATTATGAATTCTAATAAAAAGAAATATTACAACACAATAACGACAAAATAGCACATCTACTATTTACAAATTATTTTTGGGAAAATAATTGTTACAGAATTGAAGGAAAATTATTATTTTAATTTTATATACATATATGTATAATTATAATTTTAAATTTAGTCAAAATACCTTTGTGCACATCACCAAACTGTCCTTCCCCGATGATGCCGGTCAGCTCTATTTGATTACGAACCAATTCGTAGTCACGAACTGGAATGAAAGAAATTTATATTAAAACTAAATGTTTTAATTTTTACTCCTTAATAATGAAATAGATTATTAAAGAATTGAAAGATATATTTAAGAGGTTAAGGCACATTGTAGTTCATATTTAAATATTTTAAAGTTATTAGCCGTATACTCGCTCGAGCGCAGAAAGAAAGAGCAGTGTTTGACACTCATTCAGTTATATGGCAGATGTACACACTGCTTTGGGACTCAAAATGTCCAGATTATACTAATAAACAATTAAGGGACGATGCTTGGAGAAATATTAATCAGGAAATTCGCATTGTAATCTATTTGCATATATATTGTTTTATCCCAAAACCGTTTAGATTTCTTTTCTTTTTTCTTTATAAGTCGATGAATTTAGTATAAACGCGGTAGCTGCAAGAGAGTTCTCGATGTTGCCTCAGCCTCACCGTGGCTCAGAAATTTAAGAGCAAGACTGCTCGCCCAGTCAATATGCGGCTATTGATAAATTAATTTATAAAATATTATTATACATACCGCCACCATCTTAGGCCAACTTAAATGAAACCAACATTTATCACAAAGTAAAACCCACTCACCGGCCGGCGTAGAGTAGTCTGCGTCGTCGTCCACTATCTCCGCGTAGTCCTCAGACAGGAGGGTGGCGGTCTGCTCCCACGAGCTCGTCTTGCCCTCTGACGAGCTGCTGCTCATTTCAGCTGAAATGTCAATTTTTTTTTAAATGAAAACCTCTTTAGCCGCGTTGAGCGAATTTTGGTAGACGCAAAACTTATGGGTTCGCGTCACCGACATGCTACGTGTGACATGTGAAGTGTCAACGCAACGTCATATGTTTTCATTAATAAATAAACTAAAACAAAACGTAAATAATTATTGCTCAGAGTGTCAATTGATGTAAAAACCAGACTAAAAATAAGTTCAATCTACAAATTATAAAATTTTAATTATTCACACTATAATTAATTAATAAATAAAAAAAAACACAGTTATGATATATGCAGTACACGAATTCACTATACTATAAGTTTATTTTAATCAACTACTAATGTATAAAAATAATGTATACTTTAAATATTCTTGTTCTTATAATTGTTATATATTTGTTATTATTTAAGTGAAATAGAAAAAATAAATTTAGCTTTTGTTTTTATTTACTAATATCAACTCACTTTTGCACTGACAGTTCAGTTGCTTCCACACAGTTGCTTGTAAAGGAATAAAAATATACAGGTTAAGGTTATCATAATTGTTAAGTTATTCCATGTCTTTTTATAAAGTTATTATTAATAATAAAATAAAAAGACTTATAATAAATTTAAATACTCACTCGTTCTATTCCAAAGTGAGGTTTGCGAGTCAGTCACAAGTCTACAGTATCCGTCCACTAAATCCGCTAAACTTTCTGCAGCCTGTTATAAATTTTTTTTTTTTAAATAATATTACACTTCAATCTGATTGTCTACGCTGTGTGTATAGTATCATAGCAATTTAGAAAAAAATGTTACGAACACACACCTTTACTTAAAAATAAACAATAAAAAAAATCTTATGCATAATTTTCAATAATAAATTTAATATATAATGAATTGAGATATTTTGGGAAAACTTAGTAAAATCAAACGAATAATAAAATGTATCAGTTTGAGTCAGATTAAGTACACTAAACATACACTGTGATCTGTACTGAGCAATTTCATAAAATGATGTACATATTTATAGCTAATGCTTATAAAAACTACTAACAGATTTCATTTTTTTTTAATTATACATGGAAAATATATTAAATCATAATTAAAAAGCTAAAACATAATATAGACAAAGAACGATAGATATAATATATAGATAGATATCTTATAAAGTATCGAAAAGAAAATTTAATATATATTTATTTAATAATAAAATCGACATTTTGTACCTCAACACTGCTGCACGTGATCGTTAGCGTCTCCGCCGCGCCCTTCACTCTCAGCTGTAGCGCCGCCTTGCCGCACGAGCCCGTCTGCGCATAGCAAAATAAATGTTCAATTAAGTTTCTTTTTCAGAATTGAATAAATATATAGTTAGCTTTACTTGTAATCCTACTGCTTTTGTAAATGTCGTACACGCTGAAATAGTTTGACAGATTTGTATACGACTGTAACGAATTAATTCTATTCATCGTATCGATTTAAAATTTTGCAAGTCTACTTTGTTGATGAAGCCGAAATAATGTATAATGGAACTCTTTATTGGCTAATAGTAAATATTACTAATAATAATTTTCGGAGTTAGACTCATGTAATTCCTTTTGACAAGTATTGGTAAAAACATTTACTGGTTTTTAGAACTACTATTTCTTAAAAATACACACATTTGACCAATGTTTTTTTTAAAGTTTAAATATTTTTCTACAACAGAGACTAAACGTAAAGTTTACTAAGGATTATTAATAGTATCAAAAAACTGTATGTAATATGTTACCTGTGTCTGCGACTGTTGCGTACAGTTAGACTTCAACGTCTGAACCGCCACAATATCGCTGAAGGACGCTATCTTGGTGTACGTGGGGGGCTCCCCCGCCTTGTGTGACACGTATGATATATCTGTAAAAACACAATGAAAATGATTGACTAAATATATAACTTTAAGTAATTATGTCATATTTGAATTTGAAACTTATAAAGGATCACATTAAAAACGAATCAAGCTTTCGTTAACACTGCTGCTAAATTCATCAATACTGCTTTAAGTCAGACCATCACCACCCAAAAACGGATCTTCTATTTAATTTAAACAAGGGTAAAGAAAGAGAAAAAGAAAGAAGAAAAATAGCCAAAACCCATTACCAATATCGGGGCCTATCGCCAGCTCGACGGGTATCGCCCAGCCGGTGCCGAGCGCGCCCGTGAATGTCTCGCGGTCGTAGCCGTAGTGCGTGTGCATCGTCTCCAAGTACTTCAGCATACAGTCTGTGTCGCTGAGGTTCGCCACCTGCGTGCACCATTCATATTGTTTATATATAAAGTTAAAGTAGGTACTGTTTATTATTATTCTTTATTACATTTAATTGATAATTGTATGTATTCAGCCCCTTTTTAACGTCCCACTGCTGGGCACGGGCCTCCCTTCAATACGAGGGGGATCGGGCCATAGTCCACCACGCTGGCCGAGTGTTGGCGTGGCGGACTTCACATGTCTTTCGAAAACTTATTGATAATTAACATACGATAAAATTAGTTAGCATCTTATCTCTAGAAGAAATCTCTTCCAGTCGACCTAAGTGAGATAGAGATTTAGTATTAAAAAGCAGGCTAAATTGCAGTTACTCAAATTTTAATAATATTAAAAAAACTAAAACCAAAAATCATTTTTAATAAATATTTTTTATTTTGTTCTTTTTATTATATTTATAGTTGGATTGCTTATTCTTGTCGTCTTACTTTTACATTATTATTATTTTTGCCAACATTTACTTTTAAAATTTTCCAGTCCATAGTTATGCATGTGGTGTTATCTTTGTAAGTTTTAGATTATGTTGTGATATTAAAATACCGACTATATTATGTATGTATTTTAATATACTAAATTAGAAAAACCAATAAATACCAAAATAAACACATCATTATCGGGACTACTAATAATAATTATAAATGCGAAAATTTATATGTATGTGTGTTTGTTACTCATTCACACTGAAACAGCTGAATGGACTTGGATGAAAATTAATACACAGGCAAACTATGACCTGAAGTAGCACGTACATAGGTACCTAGGGACGTATAGGGTAAGTCGCCAGTCTACATACATATATGTATAATGTCGCTGGTAAAATTTCCTTTTCCAATATGCGTCTTTGATCTAAGAAATTGGATGAATTCGTCACACGAGTGAGTAATACTGTATATTTTATTCAAAGATTTATACTTTTACTTCACCAAAATAACAAGAAACAAACACAATCGCCTTTCTTTACTATAGTCTGCTGTCACAACACGAGACATTCATTAATGGAATATGAATGAATCGTCAAAAAACGTTGATCCAGCAAGTCATAATATTTAATCAAAAATAAGTTTTAACGAAATTAAAAGTATAGTATAAATGAACACAATAATTATTCGGCCTCATCGCCCACTGCGTAATTTTTCCTGAGAATCTTAGGATAAAGGAAAACTTAAAAGGAAAAACCATGTAATAATATTAATGAATAAAATGTATATTATACAATTGATACAGCAATAGGCAGTGGTAGTCCTTTGGTAACACCGTCGCTTGGGAAACCGAGTGAAGCGGGTTCAAATCCTGCGTCTCGCATCTCTGATATTTTCATGTGCGAATCATTCACTTAGACAGCGTGAACTATGGTCTGAGGTCCCTTGTATTAAACGGAGGCACAGCAGTTAGTAGATAAAAAGGGCTGAATACAATACTGCAATCGTATTTCTATACTAATATTATAAAGAGGTAGTTTGTGAGGTTGTAGGGGATAATCTCTGTACCTACAGAACCGATTTAGATAAAATTTGGTAAGAAGTTTGAGACCCTGGGAAGGACATAGGATACTTTTTATCCCGGAAATCATCCCTTAAGGGGGTAAAAGTTTGTATTGGGAAGCAAGCTAGGGACGACCCGAGCGAAGCAAGGGTGACTCGCTAGTCATAAATAAAGAGAAAGAACACTGAGTATATGATACCTTTTTAAATTGTTGCTGTATTGCCTTCTTCAGTACTTTGGGCTTGATCGCTTCGAGAACAGACTTGGGCAGGAACTTGTGCAGACCGAACTCCCTCTCAAGGTATTCAATGTTTGATTTCTTGTCCAGCGATATTTGCATGTCTTTGCAGAAATATCTAGAAGTAAGAAAATAATTAATTTTTTTTTTTGATGTGAGTTAAATACAAACAATTAATTTATTATACTTACAATAAATAAATAAATAAATAATATAATTAATTAATTATTACAAGTAATTAATTATAATTATATCTTTTAAATTAAGAGAAAAACAGTCAAATTTTCAGATAAATAAAATTCAGGTACATTTGTCATTGAATATTTATAATAACAAAACTTAATTTATAATCACCCAACTTTGGCGAAACCCAAAAGATGTGGGATTGTAAAAGTTCGAGCCTTTATATATTATTATATAAGCATTTTAATTGCTTAAAGAACCTCTAAGTATAATATACTTACTTTATTTCTAAGCAACATATCTGTATGGCCAAGTCTTGATCCACCATTGGATGATTGGCATTGAGGTAGTCATATCGGACCTGAGTAGTAGAAATTTTTTATAAGTATATATATATATATATATATATATATATATATATATATATATTTATACTGTATAATAATATGTTATAAAATAATATAATTATTAAGAATTATGTATAGATTGAATGGAAAGGAAATTCAAGTATCAAATATTTACTTTGCTTTTCAAGAAAATCTATAAAAAAATCAATTCTGTAAAATTTTCACTAAAGAATCATAAAGAGCTCTTGAAAAAAAAAAGAATGAAATCTTAAATTGTCTCCACCAAAGAAAGATAGAACATATGTACATTGTACATATCTATGTATATACTATAAAATTATAAATAAATCTAGTAATTATTAAGGGGATAATATAAGATAAAACATTTATTATCCCTACATAATTTATTTGATGTACATTATTTAAACATGTAAAAAATACATTAAATTTCCTCAACTGTTTTCAATAAAATAAACATTTTTAATTTTTATCATTTTTTTAAAACCTACCTGATCATAGTAGTAATGAAAGGTGACACGGTCCGAGTCGCACAAGTCGCGCAGGTTGGCGGGCAGGTAGCGCACGCGCAGCTCTAGCCGCCACTCGCTCGCCGGCCATTTTGTTATCAGCTCGGACACTGGTGTGTCTTGGTGGACCCATCGGATCTGGTGAGTTCAATTTTGCATATATTTATTTAACTGCCTTTATGGTCTAGTGCCCTAGCATGTACATTCGGGCCAAGATAGTTATTGAGTTTTTCTGAAAAGAAATTCTTAGTAACGGAGTTGGGAAGTTGGCTGTGTAATTCCCGTGTGTCGCATAGTATGTAAATCCAACGGCAGGACCGCCTGATCTCTTACCGCGAATTTAAAGTTAGGAAACTCTTACCATTTAGTTGTCATCCCATCAGAGTATAAGAGTGACAGAAATAGAGAGTGCACATGTGCTTGCAGCCATACTTGGGTATTATAATATCTATGACTATACTTGTGCACTATAATGCTGTGCAGGATGCACAGGTTAGTCTCAGTGAGATTAGCTATCGTTGCCTGGCTTGACAAATGCCATTCTGCCTTTTCCAATTTATTTGGTCTATTCCATGTCCAGCTCTGGTTTTTTTTCGGCACACGACGCCAACACTTGTAACGAAACAAGTCATTTTAGTTCATAAACGTTCAAATTGGTAATAACTCCACTATAGAACCAAAGCATAATGTTATTTCATGATTTGTTTCCTTTCCGATTTATATAAAATGAACGACTTATATATAATTGAAAGAGTATTTTTAAAAGTATAGCACGGTGAAAATGTCATTACATATATACGAGTAAATGCATACACTAAATCTCACCTCCAAACAGTATTATACAGTCTTTTATTCGGACACAACACCCCTAAATCTGTTTGTATGAAAATTGCTGCTTGAAATAATCTCCTAGATGCAACTGGCCTCTTTTATTCAAACTTCTACTGCTAACTTAAATAGTAATGAACAAAATATGGAATTCAGTTGTATATTTTTTGTGCATAGGTAGGTACTCGTATGTCACGCGATATCTTCACCGATTGTATTACTTTTTTGATGAATAGAACATACCTTAGGGATGGTCTGATATCCCCCCCAACGTGCGTTTACCTTGTCGTGGTGGGGGGGCTCAGTAGTGCCCGGCATCCAACCGGGCGCGAAGCTAAGAAACGCACAGGGAGGTTGCCCACTTCGGTGGGCGGTGGGAGGTGGCCCTCTTCGGGGGGGCGGTGTTCCTTGCGGGTTGCTCCTGGTACTTCTCTGATAGCAGAGTGGACCTTGGAGCAACTCCATGGTTGTGGTGGTCTGCTTGGGTAGACCTGCCGTCGGGGCGTCGTAGTTGAATGCGTAAGCGATCCTGCGACGCCTCATTAAGACGGGGGAAGGTTTTGTTGGGTTTTAGTGGGTAGTACTGGCTGTATTACGCCGGTGAGTCCCACACGTCGTGCGTAAATGCATTTCCCAACGTTAAAAAAAAAAAAGGGATGGTCTGATATAAATAATTACTGTTGCTGTTTTAAAATCAGTGTATTTTTTTAGTTTAATATAATTGTAGGCTAAGTAAGTGCAAATACCGAGTCAATCAAACGTAGTAAAATTTCTCATAAAAACAAAACGCGACATGTAGGTATAAGTGCAATTTTTGCGTATTTTAAAACTTCATTTTATTACAATACTAGCGACTCACCCTTGCTTCGCTCGGGTTCGTCCCTAGGTACGTTTTAAATTAAAATGGATATAGTATGTTATCCTTAAGAGATAGACATATGCCATCGCGGACTTTTCTGTAGACCTATATAAGATACACAATTCCACCATACATTATTTTGTTATATCTCAAAGGGTTTAAGGCAGCGTTTTCGTTGAAAGCTCCCAGACGTTTATTTTTTCCGACACCTCCAACAAATATCGTTATATTTTAGCCAATGTATACAAAAACTTGACAAATTATATACTAAAACCTTCCTCTTGAATCACTCTATCTATTAAAAAAACCGCATCTAAATCCGATGCGTAGTTTTAAAGATTTAAGCATACATAGGGATATAGGGACAGAGAAAGCGACTTTGTTTTATACTATGTAGTGAAAACAAATCTTGGAATACTATTACTTCTTATTCTGGGTAACAATTAACTTTAACTTAACTTAATTTTTAACTGTAACACATACTCGTATATAACTCTCGTATACTATACTCGTATGAAACCAATTATGTATATAGAACTATATATTAATTTACCTTTCCAGTAGTGAGCCGTCTCGCTCTTAGAGCGTAACATGAAGCGAACACGCGTTCCCCGGCCGCTAGCCTCACAGCCAAGCATCGCAGAACGGATCGCACATCTTCATCTACGGACGCCCTTACAACGTTGAACCCGCCGTTTGGCAGGTGCACCTTCAATGTTGACGGGTCTGTTGACGCTCCTATAAAAAAATATAAAATAAATAAATTATCCGATTTGTTACATAGTACTAAACATATATAAAATTGACTTTATAGATAGAATGAAAAGGGCTAGTGAAAATTAAAATTTCACTGGTGTTTTAAGTAAAACAATCTTTTCGAATCTCCCGTGAATCGTGAACATCATTGCTGTAAAACATTCGAAACGTTGGGTACCAAAAATCAAAATTAATCCGCGAAAATATAGTTTATCTAAAATGCAGATGGATTAAAGCCCACTCCTATTGGTAATATGCCCATTCTTACTCTTTTGTGTTGTTTATAGTTTGTTTGCCATATAAACTAGCATTTGCACGTATGTATGTACATTGTACAACAATAAGTAAATATTAAGTTCCAAGTAAAATAAACCTAGCCGCGAACCCTACTACGATCGACTGGCGGACCTCTAGTGCTTCGCGTAACCCACTTTAAGAAACCCTGCTGTAGAACATATTATGTTGCATTTAATTAAGAATAACATTACACTAATTAAATGTGTTTTTAATTTATATTGGAAGGTCATATTACAAAAAAAATATATAAATTAAATATTCTTCAAAATGAATTATTTGTGTAATGTTATTCTTAATTGTTGATTTCCTCAAAGTGATTGAGACAAATAAGTTAATTTTAAATTTTAATTATAATACAAACAGTGAGACCAAAGGAATTTCCCATCGGCACTATGAACTACAGTAACATCAATAACAATAATTAGTTTTCCATATTTCCTAACTCTAAGGTTGTCTGGAAGAAATCGCTAATTAGCGATAAGATCGCCTTTTGTGCACGTTCTTATACTTTGTTTTTCTTCTTTATGTTATTACTTATTACTGTGGTGTACAATAAAGTATATAAAAATAAATACTGACTAATGTCCATAGAAACTTTCATCCCCAATTTCACCTCAACTCTTTTAGAGCAAGAATTTTCAAAAGTTCTTTTTTTGCGCAGTTTTCTTATATAAGAAACGTACATAAATAATTTCATATTTCTAAACCGAGCGTTGTATATATATGAAGTTAAGATTTTTATTAAATAGACTAGTATTGCCCGCGGCTCCGCCCGCGTTCAGATGACTAAAAATCAAATTTTTAGGTTTTACATATTAGTATACTCCTACAGTGCGGTTTTTGTAATTTTTCTCAGAAATAAGATATTTTCCCGCTGTAAAAAGTATCCTATATGTTGACCCGCATAACCAGCTATCATTCTACCAAATTTCATCAAAATTTGTCCAGTGGTTTTCTCGTGATGCGGTAACAGACAGACAGACAGACAGACAGACAGACAGACAGACAGACAGACAGACAGACAGAAAGACAGACAGACAGACAGACAGACAAAAATTCTAAAAACTGTAAATTCGGACTCTGTCTCTATAATAATGTCCATTTTAATTAGATTTTCCAAAAAATATTTAATGTACAGATTCGACTTAGTTACAATTTTATTATATGTATAGATTTATAAGAAGATAGACAGTACTTATTTGGACATAACAACTATATAAATTACTTAAACGAATAGGGTCTTCAGATTTGTGATGCGTATTTGCGTAATTCTCAGTAATTAGACGACTGCTCTATACATAATTTGGTGAGAACAATAGTAGGAAATTTTACCTTAAACCTTTACGTATACATTTGTATATTCCTTGAACTGCACTGCAGTTGTAACTAACACATTGTACTATTGAAATGAGTATAATTAAACATTGTTGGTTCAAAGTACAAATTACCACTGCTACTTAATATTTCAAACTTTCTTTACCACCTGACTTACTGAGGGAGATTAGATAAAATGGAATTGTGACATAAGAAATCGTATTCAATAAATCAACATGTCTTGGCACAAGTTCTTAGGCATACATGCATTCACACGTAGTGAGGCAAAATTAAAAATCTAAACTATTATTAAAGAATGCAAATCATGGACACGAATATTATGTACTAGCATTGCCCGCGGCTCCGCCCGCGTTCAGATGACTAAAAACCAAATTCTTAGATTTTACATATTAGTATACTCTTACATTGCAGTTTTGTATTTTTTCTCAGAAATGAGACATTTTCCCGCGGTAAAAAGTATCCTATATGTTGACCCGGATAACCAGCTATCACCATACCAAATTTCATCAAAATCCCTCCAGTGGTTTTTTTTCCTTGATGCGGTAACAGACAGACAGACAGACATACAGACAGTCAGACAAAAATTCTAAAAACTATTGATTCGGCCTCTGTATCGAAAATAATGTCTATTTTAATAAGATTTTCCAAAAAATATTTAATGTACAGATTCTGCTTAGTTACAATTTTATTATGTGTATATTTTAAAACATTCTACTTCAATGAAATCGAGTCCAAGTTATTTTGGCGCGTGACAAACCAAGGCATGTGTTTAATAGAGCGTATTGAACTTAAATCTTATTAGTGTTAAGTGGAGTAGGGTGATGCTCGTATATACAGGTATAAATACTATTGAGCGAGAAGCTAATCCCCGATTACCCTATATAGAAATCAAGCCGTAAAGTTACAAATTAGTAACACGCCATTGCAGCTGATTAAATGAATATATTTAAATACAATTTGATACATTATAGATATATATGTTAAGTAGCAAGTTCGATTTTTATAGTGATATTTGGCATATGGCTTGTAGCGAAAATATTTTTACCACGTCCAATATATCTATTTATATTATCAATTTTAAACAGAAAAGAGTGTGTAGTCTTTTCGATATAATATCCATAAAGTATTTTAATATAACACCTCTACGTGCTTATTTCGAAATAACGAAATATATATTTACTACCAACGAACATGATATAAATGCCGCGTTATATCTTCACATTTCATTTGCATACCGAGCTTCAAGGAATTTGGTAGTTGGTGTCAACAAAAAAGCCAATTATCATTCAACACCTACCTTCCTTAATTCGTACAACAATTGTGTTGGCGTTATTTTATTTATATGCTATATTTCACCTGTGACTCTACGTGTTCATCGCTTTTGGAATCACAAATTGTTATCCAATAAAAAGTTTGTTATATTTGCTTCTTTATGCCTTTTTGTCCGTCTGTGCTACTATAACTCAAAAATTATTTGATTTTTTTATGATTCTCGTTTACGTACGGAAATATACCTATCTATTATCTTAATGTATATAATATAATATTGTGTTGAAGATACGAATCTAGGGTAGCAATATTTGCGTTTATATGAGAAGATGAAAAATTCTGAGACGGTTGCAGTGAGGAACTATCCGAAAACCAGTGGTCAGTATTTGTATTTTATAAGAATTTATTTCTATTAAATAAGGTGCAGAGCTTTTTTAAATACATACCTATCTCGTATATTATGAGAACTGAATGTAATGTTTATTAAGTTAGCTGTAACTTAGGAGTTAGGACATATGTCAATGTGTACCACTAATGGCTAAATTATGCTGAGATGATAGTTATCTTTTAGTACGTATATTATTTGACTTTGAATACGCTATGTTAATTTCTACTACCTAATGTTTGTATTTGAGCCTAACGTGTCTGAGATTGGTACTATTTAGCGAGTTTTTCAGGCTAAATAGCTCTACTTGAAAATTATTTCTAACTTTAGGCCATTATAGAGTCATCACTTAAATCTTTGATAAGTTGTTTTTCCTCCACATCAAAGTTTTATCTACATAATAAGTATCTAGAAGCACATCAAACAAGTGCTTTAGATGCAAATATCGTAGCTCATTGAATAAGCAAGTTCTGTAGTTCACTAGAACTCGGCTAAGTAGCGCACGGAGTTTCTAGTGACAACACTAAATTACTGGAAAATTGACTTTTCTTAAGTTTTCCATAAGGAAACTGAGATATTAATGGGATATGAATTTAAAATCCCATGGAAGTATTTATGCATGGCTTCCTGTTAAATAGATTAAGCTGACGCATTGAATAATAAGTGTGCTGATTAATAGCGAAGAATTTTTAAATATATCGGACTGGGACTGTCATGTGCACTTGAGGTCACAGATTTGATTCTTAATATTAAAATTATGTTCAGGGATGATAACTAATTTGCAGGCGTTCTTTCAACAAAGAGGTGTAAAATGAAGCGTGACTATAACCTGCCTGCTCTACTAAAGAAATACATATAAACAAGTTTTACATAGGTATTAACCTAATTTTACATATTACACTCGGACTTGATCGGATTTTAATGATATAATATCTTGATCGTGCTTGTCATGAAATAAGTTTATACAGATACATTGGCTGTAACATAATTACAGATTAACTATACCTACAATACAATAATTTAACTTAATTATGCAAAGTTAAAAAGCTTACTCTAAAGCACATTACTGCACAGTAAGTTAAATTTTAATGTCAGTTTCCGGATGAAAATTCATTTAGAATTAAGGGTAATTAATTTCTTTCATTTGTTTTTCATAAAACTCCAACAATGCGGGAGGAAAAAAACATCACCGCTAGACCGGATAGGCTATAAATTATCGTTATCTCCCTCCCAGCGGCCACCATAACCCATTATGGAATCTGTCAGAATTATTCATGAACGCCCTTTGACTAGACAGACGGATGTCACATATTATGTATAGTAGATCTATTTACTAATGTGATTTAAAAATATGTAATATTATTTTCATGCAATTTTGAAGCATTTTTTTGCAGATTTTACTGGATATTTGGAATCTCAAACAACAACAAGTATCTTGTGAAGTATAAGCATTTTGTGAAAAAATATAGTATTAACAAATATTGCCACAACTTATTGTTTCAATACTAGCGTCAAGTGAATAATAGAATAAGAAGTGACTTATTACAAAAGAAAGAAGAAATTATAGTTTATTTATAAATAAATAACGTAAAGTAATTTTATCTTACTGTATTTATCACAATAATATTGTAAATGCGAATGTATTAATTGTTACTTATTCACACTATAACTGGATTGCTTAAGCCAACAATTACTAAATTACGCTGGTTTAAACTAGAATATTGTTACTGGAATTACTGTTTATGAAAATTATAAATGCAAAACTATGTTTTCTGCTTTTCTTTTCTTTATACAGCAACGGGTCAACAAAGCGAGTTGATTTTGTAGGGCGATATTTTATGCGTCTTAAGCCCAATTTCACCAACGTCACCAGGTTTAAGGGATCCCTTAAGCGTGGTTAGGGGGCTGTTAGGGGTCTCTGTTCTCAGTTTCTGTTTCACCGACAGTTAGGGGTCACCTAAATGTTAAAAGGCCCCCTAAATTTAGGTGCTCGAAATATGGGCTTTAAGACGATGGTAAAAAGAAATTTAATTTAGGGGCTAGTTTAGGGGAATTTTAAGCTAGGGATCCCATACGTAGGTGGTAGCTTATGGGTTGTTGATGAAATCGAGCATTAGAGTTAGAGTTTACTTCTGAATTCGGTATATCAAGTGGCTCCACGATATATATCTGTTGCAAAAATCTCGAATAGGACTAGTTACATATTATAAAAAAAATCGACGTATTTGACATAAATAACACTATTCGTTTAAAAGATAATTTAAAAGATATCGCATAACATACACACACAAAAAACAAAATACTAAATTGACTACCTTTTACCAATCTCGGTCCAAAGTAAAATTATTCGCGAATCCTTTACCTCAAATGAAAAAAGGCTCAAAGACGAGTAAAACGTTCATTAGTCGTAACCACATCGCTGGTTCATGGCATTGATCAAATTCGAAGCGGTATCGACTGTACCTAAAAATCGACAAAGTGAACATGTTTGCTTTTGTTTCAGTGAAATTGTACTACTATTATGTAAGAGCGAAGCTTTATTTAAAGTAGAGGTATATTTTTGCAGGTACTTTGTGTGATTTTACCTAACATGAAAAAATTATAAAAATGGCTTTTACTAAATCATAATGATAAGTATAGATAATTATCGTTAAAATAAATCGTGGGACAGCCCTATAATTTCCTTTGCTGATATTCAAAGCTCTTTGGTTAAATTCTCGCTAGCATTTCTGTAGATGCTTTAGTTGTATCTGTTTGCCAGCATAACCTATTTGTTCTCATCACTTTACGTCTCTAGGAACTTGGCATTTTTTTTTGCAACTAATTTGAAGCAGAAGAATGTCTTTCTGGCACTAGAAAAGAAAATCATTAATCGATGTTATTGGGATTTGCCGATAGTGAACCCGGGATTGTACGTTTCCCAAACGTATTGATATACTGAGCGTTATTTAACCAGATCGGATAAACGTTTATTTGATTTATACTAACATTCGTCTAGTGTGAGAATCGTATGCAATACACTTAGTTGGCAGCGATAGATACCACCACACGTCTTATGCCATTTATGCACTTTTCTATCATTTATTTTAAGAAATTGATACAAAAACTTCATTCACCACTAATTTCAAAGTAAATTTCATTATTTAATACATCCAAAAACAAGGTTAACAGTTACGACAGATGGACATAGAGAGAACACACACAACTCACAAGTGTTAGGTACCATATGTGATAAGGGGTTGTCAATCAACACTTTAAAACGAAATACTTTGCTACATTTCAGATCATACTATCATAGAAGTCATAAATAAATAACAAGTTAAGAGAAGATAAATTATTAACAAGTTATATTTAGATTGGATTGTTCAATAAACCAAACGGAAACACCAAAAAGGATCGCTCATTAGTGTCCACATGGCGGTGCCGGTATCGATCGGAAGCGGTGACATCAGCACGCTTCGGTAATGATGTCTTTGAACCACTATTCTTTATTTTATTTGCCACGAACCGAGCTGTACCAGTTAGCATCGTAGAGTAGACCAATTGTTACTAAATCTTTTAATATGTCTAACTACATTTAAATACTAATAATATAAGAAGATTTTTTATAATAATCATAAATAAATAACACAAGAACAATAGCCAAAGAAGTTGAGATTCATGGGAGAACAAATTGTGTTGGGACTCGTCAATTTACTGCCTAAGCGAAACAGTACGTGTTAACTAGCAGAACAAAATTTTACGCATTTTTTTTAAGTAAAGATTATATTTTTTCAGATAGACATTATTACAAACTTTATTTAAACTTACAATGTTTATGTATGTTTGTTCGGGTCAAATCTTTTAATTTTAAAGCAGTTATTCTAAACCGATTGAGCTAAAATTTGGTATACACGTTTAGTTGGTTGGATGATGACCTAATATGTTTTTTATGCACTCCCATGACATGGATATCAAATGAAAGGTTTGCTGAGAAGAATATAATAAATAACTAAAAAATAAAAAATAAACTTTGAATTAAATCAATTCCATTAATTTATTACACTGTACAGTTTAATGATAATATAAAAGCTTGTTCTTAAAAATGTTTTTTTTACATTAATTTATTTTAAACCCAAAATCTGATAGTTTTAATCGACATAAAGAAAGAGGTACTACATTTATCTACGCGAATATTTTTTATAAATGTTCACTAGTTTTGGAGACCATTTTCTCGATCTCTATATTAATAGATAGCAAGTAGTAGGTAGTTTCGGAAAAATCAGGTAAGCAAATCTCGTAAGAATGTGTGTTATCCTACTTCAACATATTAAAAATCTAATCCTATTCAAAAGGAAAAAATCTTTTTAGTTATTTATTACTCTTTAGCGCAGTCGCTTTGTTAAAAAATAGTTTATATAATAGGAAATCTTGATATTCTTTGCGATTTAGTTAAGAATTCATTGAGGCGTGTAAACACAAACATCATTTATTATGTTTTGTTTTTGTGTCACGACCTTGGCCTATGTTTTCGTGCCGTTTTTAATTCCCTTGACAGCCTACAAAGTAATCCTCTTATAACATTTAATGTACCCACAGTAATCTACTATATTGTGTATCATCATTTTTTATATATTACAATACATTTAATGTTATGAAATATTATTATGTGAAAATAAACGTTTACAGAATTATAATTGTCGCATGGTGCCAATGCAAAGGCATGTATATTAAAAAAAGCGTCCTGTTTTAACGGATGTGAACGGATGTGCTTAGAAGGTAAGAAGAACTTATCTATGATTAAGAGTTCCTCTACCTGTTGTCAAGAATCGTTTTCACGTGACCAGATCGGAAATGTTAATAATAAAAAAGTACTTATCGAGTGCGAATGCAAATTTTAGTCTCATTTTGCTTAGCGGATATATTAATTAAAAAAAAAACTGGTTTTTAGTGACAGTACAGACATTTCATTTCTGAGGTGCTGGGTGTATCTGAAAATCAGCGCTGTTCGAGGTCTCGATCCTAGCAGCATCAGCTGAATTACTACCTTGTCGTAAGAAAGATTATTATTAAAATTCCTTTTTTCCTATAGTATGAAGTACATCAAATATCACAAACCGTGTGCAGGCGCAGGAGTAGCGTGTCGCTTGGGCGAGCCGCCCTGCGGGGCGGGCTGCATCGCGCGAGCTAACGGCCCCTCGCCGCACCGCCCGCCGCCCTCCGGCTCATGGCTAAAAAAAAATTTACATATTGGTATAATTGAAAAATTAGTAAACATTCCAGTTAAAAATTGTAACTGCGGAAGCCCGACACAAAATATGAGTTTTCTTGTAAATACAATATATACATTTTGAAAATTATCAGAATGTTTAAAAGTAAATAAAAGTAAGAATAATGATAAGCAGATTAAATGATGCAGTAAAATCAATTTAAGCGTCCATCCTTAAATTTACTGCCTCCATTCTACTGTCAACATAGATATATGTAACGATTTTCCAAAACCATAAACTCAGTAGCACACATGGCCGTCGCACTTGGGCAGTACATAGGTCTCATTTTAATTATCCACAGCCCAGTGGTTGAAATGCAAGGTACAAAGGCGTGTTAGGGGTGTTTCCCTTCATCTGAGGTAACCAGACATTTTACTTTTTGAGGATACTTCCTTTATTTAAATTTCAGATACGTAAATTTTGTTAATAACTCAAAATTATATAAAAAATAAAATTATATTTGTAATAATAAAATAAACATTATTTTTTGAGTTATGTTAATTGTTTTTTACATAATAATTGAAAGAAAAGAGTATATCGGATAAAACAATCTACCTAGTGAAATATTCAACCGAAAATGGACACTATTACGTAAGTATTTTTAGAAAAACAAAGCCGTAATTATATTTTCAATCATGTATCCCTATTTGCTCTGGTTACTTGGTCACGCTATGCCCCCCTATGGAGTCGGTCATCGATTGATATTCGGCGCATGCAAATACACTGTGCATGTGATTCTGACCAGCCCTTTATGTTGTTTTGTTGAAACTCATGTATTGGCGAGACATGGTGGACTTTATGGTTAAATAAATAATGGTAAATGCTAACTAATAACATCTATGAAAGAGTTACGTAAAAATCTTGTATTTAAACAGTATAAAAATATAATTATACCTATACATATAAGACAAATGACTAATTCGTCTTATCGATCTAAATGATTATGAAAATTGAAAGAAAAATAGGACACTTGAAGGCTTTGGAAATCATGATCATCACTCATACAATAATGTAATATACTCGTAATAAAGTAATATAGGTATCTAGATTGTACAATCAATACCTACAGATAACGCATAAAGGGAACAAAGAAAAAAAATGCTTCTAAGGACTGTTACCGAACATTAAGTACTCGTAATAGCGACATCAATAACAATAAAGAAATTGTGAGACACGTCCAATTAATTACACATTTACACTAATATTATAAAGAGGTAAAGTTTGTGAGTTTGTGACGTTGTATCTAATGACGGGTAATCTCTGGATTTATTGAACCGATTTAGATGAAGTTTGGTAAGACAGTTTGAGACCCTGAGAAGGACATAGGATACTTTTTATCCTGGAAATCATCCCTTAACGGGGTGAAAATGGGGATAAAAGTTCGTATGTGGAATCAAGCTAGAGACGAACCCGAGCGAAGCGAGGGTGAGTCACTAGTTATTATTAAACAAACTAGCTTAGGTAAAAATAACTTAGTATATAAATATCGTCGTGCAAAAGCGTAGGAAGAAAATCATTCAATAAAAGCATTGCATTAGATAACACAAAACATCTAATATAAACGCATGGGTGTGAAAGGTGCGTCACAGTAAAGTGAACAAGCTATGATATGGTTAAATATAGAAATGCGTTAAATGGAATAACGATAGAAACGTCCGTATTATTAACACTCAGATATAAGACAAGAAATTCTTAAACAATATCCGTTACTTATTAGAATTAGTGTTACAACTTCAGAGCTATATAATATTATGCCAAAGCAAGTATCAAACGGGCTGAAGTCCTCATCTAACACGAATTAGAGTAATTGCAAATGTTAGAAGTTGAAGACCCCAAATCCCAATATAGATTGCAATGAAGACGATAGCGCTATCACACTTATGAAACTGACCTAGCTTTAGGTAATGACGCTCCTATTGTGAAATTGTTAATTATATTGTAATAGATAAACCAACTAATATTTATGTTATATTTTCAGATTATTTATAATATATTTCAACTTTTTATATCTTACTTTTTTCCCTATCATGAAAAAAGTTTGGCACGAATTTAACATTTGGTCGAGTTAATAGCGAAATAACTTATTTTTATGATGTTATTGATACTGTCAGAAAAAAAAACCTCTTGAGTTATTATGTTTTTACTTACTAAATATTAAAACAGTATATACCTATAAAACAACATCGTGACGAATTGACTAACGGATAGATAACGCAAAGTTTATACCGGTAAAAATATCTCCAGGTAAATTTATAAGAAATAAATTAAAATTCTAAGAAATCTATTGTTAACTGACACGCCGGCGTGTCCGCGGTCGTGGAGGGATTATGAGAATATATTTCTTGACGATTGCACTAAGTAATGTTTTGAAACACAATTCCTAAAATGTTGACATAACGATAGAAAATGCTCAAGAATGATATTCTTTACTAGCGACTCACCGTCCCTAGCTTGCTTCCCAGTACGAACTTTCATCCCCTTTACCCCTTTAAGGGATGATTTCCGGAATAAAAAGTATCCTATGTCCCAGTGCTTCCCAGGGTCTCAAACTATCTTCTTACTAAATTTCATCTAAATCGGTTTAGTAGATCCAGAGATTACCCCCTACAACGTCACAAACTCACGAACTCACAATTCATAAACTTTACCTCTTTATAATATTAGTATAGATACAGTTCTCGTGCATCATTTTCAAGATTTGATTAGTTATAATGCTCTTAATCCATTACACATTATTCGAACAATTAAATAGAGGAGTAAAAGCTAGACACGTGAAGCCACAAGAATCAACTAGTTCAAAATAAAATTGATGATATTAAAATGTATTTGACGTTATAAAGAAACAAAGTATTAAGTCAGGATAATCGTTTAAGTACACAAGAGATACCTAAATAATGATGCAGGAAATCTAGTTTTACTATGATGTTGGAATTCACTCTCCCAACTGATTGTTAGGCAGAAATGCGAAACGCTACCTATTTACTAAACTGTGCTGATCAGCTAACCAATTAGGCGATGAATGTATGTTTAACATTCTCTTTGTTGTTATAGAGATTGATGTAATAAGATAAGTTAATATCTGAATCGTTAATATTATTGCGGGAACACATAATTTTATGCTAAAATCACTTTAAATTACTAATAAACTGTTATATGAAATAAATCATCGATGCAGTTAAATAATAAGAGAAATATGTTACGTAACAATTCGTATAAGTATTCGACTTTAATACTATTTATCGATTAGTAGAAATTTGCAAAATATTATCCACAAATTAGATAGAATTTTATTTTTGAAGTAAAACTTCTTTAGGCGTGACTGAGGGGTAAGTCAAATGAGTGTAGCGGAAGTGTGTCGCGGAAGTGATAGTCAAATTCATTTTTTTTTAGATATTACTGTGGGATGAATTGTTGCCATGGTAACCGTTGTTATTGTCTGATAAATGATATTATAATATTATATACTTTTCGTATATGATATTCTATAAATATATGACTGTAATATACCTAATATGCCCTATTTAATTATTGATTTGTTTTAATTAATTGCGATACGCACCTTATTTTTTTATATTTACATTTGTCTATACAGTTTCATCTTGCGTTAACACTTCGTTTTCAACGTTGAAAAAACATTCACAGAATTTATTAATTGATAGTGCCAAATAAATCTCGACGTATCTTATTCTCAAATTATAAGTTACAAGTGCTATACAGTGTACAGCATCAGAAATAAACCTTCACATAAAATACGATATTCTAGAACAAAAAATTAAAGTTTTATGCAATAAGTTAATTTCATTGTATTTTATAAAGACGATAACCAAATTGGACACCTGCGGTGAATTTATTTGAAAGATGAAACACGAGATATGAATAACAATTATAATATATTCGTTAACAGATTACAATCGAAATCTCACTGGACAGAACAAAAATCCTTTGAACCGCTATAAAGATGTTTTCGATCGGTATGAAAATCAATTAACGATTTCAAGTGGCAATACGTTGTGGAATATTGCAGTCTTTACTTTTAATTGGTTAGAATGAAGCTTTGTAATAAACGTGCTGAATATTCATGGCACGATGCTGCGTTGCCGCGATGATCATCAACATGGCAGATTTTGAGCTCTTCGTTACATCGAGAATTTAAACTTTCGATTAACTATAGGAGAGTACGTTAAGTTTTTTAATATCTTTTAATTTATAAAATTGCATCTTCTAATAATATACTCACTAACAATTAAACTTTAAAATTTACTAATATGCTGTATAATATTTTCATCGAATGTGCTCATATGTATGTATGTATGTACTATGTACTATGTATGTATTTAGCCCTTTTTAACGTCCCACTTCACTGCTGGTCACGGGCCTCCCTTCAATACGAGAAGGATCAGGCTATAGTCCACCACGCTGACAAAGCCAATAATTGTCAGCAAATGTGCACATATGTATATAGAATCAAAATCCTTATGTTACTGGACCTACGTTATATCATTAATAATAAATGTTATAAACTATATTTTAGAAATGTACGCAGCCTTGATCAAATAAAATTAACATTCACCATCGATGAATGATCAGAACAAACAAATATGATGAAAATAAAATAAAATATACCTGGTTGTTGATTGTATTATTATATTTCAATAATTAATTGGTTCTTCGATAAAATATCAATTTCAAAATAGGATCTTTGAGAGGTTCAGTAGATAGAGTTCTTCATTGTTAATTAAGCCAAGTTTTCTCGTTCATTGTTATCTCTGTTATCTATGCTCAACACAGTAGCAGATCATGTAAAGATTTATAAAACCTGTATCTACGAAATAATGTGTGGCCCTATGTCGAAATATACGAAACTTTATTATATACCTATGTATACTATCCATACATACCATAAAATTGTAGCTAAGCCGAATCTGCGCATTAAATATTTTTTGGAAAATCTTATTGAAATAAACATTATTATCGACACACAGGCCGAATCTATAGTTTTTAGAATTTTTGCATGTCTGTCTGTCTGTCTTTTACCATCACATCACAGAAAAACCACTGGAGGGATTTTGATGAAATTTGATAGCTGGTTATCCGGGTCAACATATAGGATACTTTTTTCCGCGGGAAAATATCTCATTTCTGAGAAAAAATACAAAAACTGCAATGTAAGAGTATACTAATATGTAAAACCTAAGAATTTAGTTTATGATCATATGAACGCGGGCGGAGCCGCGGGCAATGCTGTATATAATAAGTTTATTTAGAAATCTATCAAAACATTTTTTCAAATCTATCGATAAAATAAAAAATACATATTCAAACGGTATTTAGTACAGAATAGGTATAGAATTTCAAACGTTTGAATATCTAGAAGGCCATTACACACTCAAGACGCGAGTTCGTTTCCTTTTTTTAACCATGTTAGTAATAAAATTATTTACATTATACAATATGCAAACGATTCTTAAATAAATAATACGGAGATTCAATGCACGTAAATCATAACGGCCGCCGAGGACGCCACCAAATTATTAATATTGGTCAATTAAGTTCATCGTAACCACCAGACACTATTAATATTGATGATATAAGTATCTATTACTTGTACTTAGTTGAAGAATACTAAATTAATTATCATCATAATTTTGTATACGGTTAAGAGTTGCGATGTATATAACTATGTGTACACAAGATTAATTACAAGGAACAGTAAAAGAAATAAGCTCAACAGAAATTATGTTGTTAATAAATAAAATCATTGTCATTATTTACATCTTGTATTTTAATAAAACTATTAAACAATGTTAATTGATCAATTTTATTGTTTTTGGATTTGACAAAGGCCGACAAAACATCATAATTATCAAATTTTTAAATATGTATAAATTTTGGCTCATAAGATCTAAGGAATTCCATCAAAAATGATCAATGAGTCGTGCCGAGCCTAATTCAAGCATGCAGCCTTCAAAATACCACCCACTCGCCGCCTACAACATTGTGTAAGGTGGAGACATTTAAGATTACGAGTGTAAGGGAAAGTATCGAAATTAATTGCATCCAGTCCAGTCTTCTGAAACTTGATTGCAATACTCAGAGCTACCTTATAAATCTGAAGAAAACTCGATTTGTAAACGAGCATAATTACTACAGATACAAATATTAAGCCGCCGTTAACATTTTACACGATAAAATATTTATAATCTCTTTCAAAACACATTAAAATTAATAAGATGGATATTGTTTGATAGTCGCAATACATAATTACAAACCTCTTTGATCGAACCCGTGTGTACCTCCACGTGTTGCTGCTATAATGCCCAGAGCTTGACGGGCAAAGTAATAACTGAAGACTGTTCGGTCTGGGCTGCCTTTGCTTTTTCGACCTGAATTTGACCACCTCTTCCTTTTTTGCCTCTTTAACTGGCGGTTTTTTTGAATCCACACTCCACCTGTACTCATCTACATTTTTGTTCCTTAATTCTACATCATTTATATTAATGTTATCTAGTTTATCTCTAATGAAACTCCTTGAACGTAATAGATCGGGTGTTTCATCGATTCTCTCGTGCTTTCGTATTTCGATCGGTGATGTCGGGGGTCGTCTTGGTTCGAACACGATTTTTGAATATTCGTTGCTTCGACGCCATAAACGAGGTGACAACGGCCAAAAGCGCCCATTGGGCTGCGCTGACTCCATAACCATTTTTCAACACTGAATATATGTTACAATATAATTTCACTTCACTTTGACTTTATTGATGTTTTTCACTGTTAAGATATAATTATATAAGTTTCCATTTAAAATAATTAAAGGAGAAAGTAAAAAATTGAGTGTTTTTTTCAGCCACAATCGTTTCGCGAGTAAAATGTTAATGATATACGTGTGTGACCAGCGGCAGTAATTGATTGACTAAATGATGGACAAACATACTCGTATATGCATTTCCCCTACCTCCGAGCTATCAATCGCGTTACGCCTACGAATTCTAGATAACGACGATACGAATGAATCAAATGACAGTTTACACGTAACGCATAATAAGACACCACAGATATGTGCCTTAGAATATATAGTGTTGAGAAATAGGATCAAATGTTAAGTGAAAGAATTTGGTTTCGAGATGAGCATAGATTTAGGATTAATTTGTTTAAGTTTACTAATTGTAATATATTTTTCACCAAAATTTCTCTAATATTAAGTAATAAAATAAAAATTATCTACATATATAATAAAATTCTGAATCTGTACATTAAATATTTTTAGAAAATCTTATTGAAATAGCATTATTATCGATATAGAGGCCGAATCTATAATTTTTAGAATTTTTGTCTGTCTGTCTATCTGGGAACGCATCACGAGAAAACCACTGGATAGATTTTGATGAAATGTGGAATTTTAATAGCTGGATATCCGGGTCAACATATAGGATACTTTTAACTGCGGGAAAATATCTCATCTCTGAGAAATCTATACTAAACGTAAATAAAATTCAAATAATCCTCCAAGGAATACATTAACTTTTTATGAGTCAATTAAGAAATTCGATACTTTTGAAGTCCTTACTCTATGACTTAAGAAATACATTTGTTTGAGTGCGAATAACAATGAGTTTATCAGATATAGATATAGCTACCGGAATCGCTACGCCGGTTACCGGATTTAGAGTTATGTTTTGAATCATAAATACATTATGAATAATAACTACTGAGAACCGGTTTTTATACTTTTTATTTACTTTTAACTCTTTAACATCCCACAACTGGACACGGGCGTCCCGCAATGCAAGGGACAAGGTATAGTCTCAATCGAGATATAGTCTAACGCTCTAGTCAAATATGAGCAAATACGAATCGGGGGTCTTCACGCATCTTACAAAAACTAGTTATGTTAAATATTGTTATTTGAACGTCCCACTGCTGGGCGCGGGCTTCCCTTCTATACATGCAGGTTTCCTCGTGATGTTTTCTTTCAATCTTTGAAATCATGTTCGAAAATTTAATTTATATTTTATTTGATAAATATGTCCGTATATGCTCGTAATGTACCTAAGTCGACACTTTAAGATAAATACTTTTGTTTTAAAAGGGTCGATTGGAATTTTTATTTGACTTTTGTTAAAGTAGTTCACGGATTGAAGTTTTAACCGGAGGGGAAATAACAATATTTTAAAACGGGTTAGTTAGCTTGAGATCAAGACATTTCTAGCTGGGGTAGTGTTAGAGACAGATTGACTATTCTGCCTTACAGCGATTTCACTGGGTTTCCAAAGTTATTGTCTGTAGTCTAGATAATAGTATTTTAATATAAAAATTGTGTAATAGAAACACAGTATGAGATATTAGTAGGTATATGAGTCACGTGGTTTTATTGTGACGCGACACATCGAAGACATTTGATAAAGGAAAAATTTAATATTAGTTTCTCTCAGATATGCAGATGATCTCAGTTATGAGTATATTATATAAAATTACATGTTCAGTAGATATTCGTCACTTTATTATCGAGTATTATTTGCATTTTTTCGAGATATCGATAACACTATTGAACAACATTATGTAGCGATAAGGAAATATTTTGACATGCGTTTAATGAACCTATTCAAATCCTTGCTATCACTTTATCTGTCATGATAAAACTATTATATGTTTTAAAATAGATAAAAAAGATAATTTTAAATTATCTTTTAACAATTTTAACTTAATATTTATTTTTACAATACCATGCAAAGTATATCCATGCAATCCAATACAATATCCATGTAAAGTAAATATTTAGAAAATATACGCTTATGTATAATTTCCATGTTTCAAATTGTACGGTTAAGTAACAATAGAACCACGGTTCTTCAAAAATATTTATGAAATCAATGGTAAGTTGATTTTGAGTCTTTCAACGGGTTTCAACGGGATACTGAATCTTATATTATATCAATCAACTAGCGACTTTACACCGGTGCCGTCCGTAGCCGCCTAACAGCTGTGTTTTTTCGGGTCATACTCTGTGTGTACTAAATTTTACCGATATACGTCCAGAACTTTCAACTTAAAGGAGTGACAAACATATACACACATTCAAACTTTTGCATTTATAATAAAAGTCGGGTAGCTGGATTCAAGTAATAAAGGAGAAAAGCTTTACAGTTATTTTTTGTACTTTCCAAGAAAACTTTAATATTTAAGTATGTTAGATGTATGATGATACTGACATACTCGTATTTACTTGTCTACCTTTAAATACAAATCATATGGCGACACCTCAACAGTCTACAACAGACGTTACCAGAATTAAATCCCCATGTATTCGTCATTCTTTTCCCACAATCAGCTTTAGAATCTGCATCAAAAATGGATAACCATAAAACCGATACGCAGTGGGATGCGTTGAACAACGTTGCATAGCAAACGAAGGAAGCAGTGGCAGGACGTAATCCATTTGCTATGTTAATGTTGACGTACCGAGCATAAATATTGGCGCTTCGCTACTGTCGCGTATATATTAATATGTAGAAATGTACTTTTACCTTGTAATTGCCGACATCATACAGAAGAATTATTTATAAAAATAATTACATATTGGAGTCACACTGCTACATTATGTAGAGATGTGAAATTTGGTTACACTTTTGAACCTCTTATCTATCTTAAACACTTGAATTACATCATTTCCTTTATTCTTATATAGTGTAGTGAAAAGCAGCTGGTCTAAGCACAGTTGAGAATTAATGATATCAATGATTTTTTAACGGTTGCAAAAAAAAGAAAAAGCACTCAATTTGGGTGTATGTTTTTATATTACACAATACGTATATACGCTAAATATAAACAGATTTTACTGATTTTGATTGGATATGTTATATGTCAAGGTTGGTAATATTTAAGATTCTAAAAGTATGCATTTGTGTGTCAAATTTATATAAAGCAATATAATAGCAAAGATATTTTGAGTTTCAGTAATATGTGACGTGATTATTTACCGAACGAAAAGACTACCTGTACGCAGGAAGCCCTGAATCACCGTAAGTAAAGGGTATATATGTACATACTATTCAATGTATACAATATACAGGTTACTATCATTCGATAAACTGACTCAGACGATGTTCCTCGAAATCGCAAAGGAGGTATTCGAGACATGTATAATTAATTATATTTATTACGTTTCACCTAAAACAAATGAGAGTACAGATTCTAGAGCTTTAAGAAGTATTTTTCTTACGTTTTATAGAAGTTTAATATAAACTGGGTCACTAAAGAATACGTTCATTATTAATCTATAAATGTAATAGAATTCTTATAAGACCCATTTAAAATATGGGGAGGAAGTATAAGTCGAAGTAAGAGCTTTTGTTCCAACGACAACGTTAAGACTATGAATTTTAATTAATACCGCTGTGCATTGCTTGAGTAAGGTAATTTGTGAATATGAGACTTTAGAAGTTGAGAGCAGTGATTATGCGAAGAAACTAGCGGCAACCTGTCATTTTAAACCTACCTATTAATAATATTATAAAAATTCTTATAATACTTCAAAAAGTTTTAAATAGATTATGAAAATATCTCTCTATACATACATATAATAAAATTCCGAGTCGAATCTATACATTATATTTTTTTGGAAAATCTTGTTGAATTAGTCATTGTTACCGACACAGAGGCCGAATCTATGGTTTTTAGAATTTTTGTCTGTCTGTCTGTCTGGAAACGCATCACGAGAAAAGCACTAGACAGATTTTGATGAAATTTGGTATGATGATAGCTGGTTATCCGGGTCAACGTATACTGCGGAAAATATCTGATCTCTGAGAAATCTATACTAAACCTTAAAACGTTACTATATATATAATATGAATAAAAGAGTTTAATTTTTTATAAAACTATAATAACAAGATTATAATAAATTTTCATTCAGAAAATTAAAGCTTACGTAAAAATCGATTTTGCTTCAAATGATATACACTGTATGGAACAACGACTGTATATTATACCGATATGGCACCGGTCTTTTGGCAAGACATTCTAAGTAATCAATCAATTACATTTCTGTCTCAGTATTAAAACAGGGGAGGTACTCGCATACAATAGCCGGAACATACAATACGTAGAACCACTTAATTGGATATGACATATTTACTTACAAATTGTGTTCAGGCCAAATCTATTCTTATGACGTGTCCATAGGGGATATTTTGTTATGAAAATATATGAATATAAGTTTGAAGAGCGTGGGACATAGAAGGTCTTAAAATGGTACACCTCATATCATACGCATTGTGATCGAATGACAGTTGCTTGGAAATTGGAAAACGACATTTGTTATGTATGCATGGTGTGCAATATGAAATCTTAGATGGTATAGGTACTTGGTACATGTTATTTATTGTAAGCTACTTCTTTTTTTAAAGCTATTCTCGTGTGTTTGGTAATTTTTTATGCTTCTTGACAATAAAGTTAATGAAAACTGATTTTCTTTGTTAGTCGTTTCGAAGTAATAATTTATACATATGTATATAATCTTATATTTTATATAGGTATATAATCTGGTTATTTATGGATAACTGTAAGAATAGGTTTTTCTACACAAATAAATATTAGATTATATATAAAATATAAATAAATTTTATACTTACAAATACACTTTTTATAAATAATAATAAAAGTTACCAATTATAACGTTGTAAATTATCTTGCATCGTCGAAAGGAAG